GTATAATACATAATTTGTAAAGAGTAATTTACAGACACAAGGAAGTAGCTTTTACCAGTAAGCCTTTTTTTAAGGAAGACTTTAAAATTATATATTTCCATCAAGTAAGTATTATGAGAAGTCAATTATAACCATTGGGGTTTACCTGTGCAGTAAGTTACAAACTATGCAATTTTAAACTCCTATCTACCATAAGACAAATTATTGTAGCAGTGTAAAGGTAAATTAAAAATTTGAATTTATTGATGTCCTTAATGCCAACAGAATTTAGCATAAATAAAGCTTGTATTGTAGATTCTAAATGTGAATATCAGAATGTTTTTGGTGTCCATGTTTTCTCAGAATTGGGTGAACTTTAAAGAATTCACTCATTTAATGGGAATGTGCTTATTAAGATAGATTTTATTCTGTTAGTTATTTTTGACATCGTGAACTTAAATAAAGCTTATAAAATACAAAAGCTTTATTTTTAAAGTAATTATAATACATATAACATAATTTTATGAATTAACTTTGTTTCTGGTTGAAGTACTTGTGGTCAAAAATAATAATAAAATCAAATGCAGATATATCACAGACTGATATAAAATATCTTGTGCAGTGTGTTATTAAGATGTTTGCAGTTGGTCCAGGCCAGAGTCATCTTTAACAATTTAATTTGAACAGAATAAAGGAACCCTAGAAACGAAGCAGGACTAGGTAGACTAGACATTGACATTTATCAAGTTCATCTCAGGTATGGTGCAACTTACAAGCTAGAAATAACATGGTTAAGTCTACGGGGCATATTAAATTATCTGAACACAGTTTATAATGTCAAATATTATATATTTCTTATGTACTTGAACAATATTTTGAGCTTTGATTCAGCACTTTTCTTTATGTCCCTTTCATTGTCTACAAAATGTTTTGATTGCTTAGTTTTGTTCCATTCTTTGCCTAAGTAATTTTATATTTTATGTAGTTTTGCACTTCTTGCACTTACCTTATTTAATGTAATTTTTATCCTCATGGAGCCTAGGAAAGTGCATTATTTGCACCAGGGAGTTTATAGTGTTGTTGATGGAAGGTGCTATTTGCCCGTGACAAATTTATCTTGTCAAAATCTTACATTATCCAAGAAATGCCCTATTGCTAAAGGAACTTGTTTTGTTGAAAAGATAGTACCTATGTAAATAAAGTAATATTTATGTAAAGTAATAAGTAATTCGGAATATGAGCCCTTACTAATATCTGACATAAATGTTGGTTCCCAAATTGACAAAGAGGCATTAGGTAGATCATTAACTTTTACTCAATTATCTGCTTTGCATTTAATCTAGGAGAAAATGGTTGTAACAACTCAACTAGAATGAGAATAGACTTATTGGATGAGAAACCTGTAGTTTACCGACCATATAGATTATCCTTTTCGGAAAGAGATAATAAATGACTTGTTGCAAAATGACATTATACAAGAGTCCAATTCAAGAATTATGCCAGTCCTATTTTATTGGTAAGGAAGAAAACAGGAGAACAGCGCTTATCCGTTGATTATAGGGCTCTCAATAACAAAACGAGGAAAGATTGTTTTCCGTTGCCGATAATCGATGATCACTTAATTAATGATCAATTAACTAACCTTAGTGGCAATAGATTCTTTACATCTTTAGATCTGATTTCTGGGTAAGTAATAAACTTGATGAGTTAGCATTGGGTGACATTCTTGTGCCATCGGTTACCCTGGAGGAGGGATTTGAGAGGTTAGAGAATGCTTTGAAGTTGTTACGGCAAAATGGGCTCACTTTAAAATTATCTCAATGCCGATTCTTCAGTAATACCCTTGACTATCTAGGCTATGAGATTTCTGCAGAAGGCATACGTTCTAACGAAAGTAAGATTCTAGCTGTAAAAGAGTTTCCTATTCCTCAGAACGTACATGAAGTCCGTCAGTTTTTGGGACTAGCAGGCTATTTTAGAAAATTTATCAAAAGTTTCGGTGAAACAGCTAGGCCTCTAACCAACTTTCTCAAGAAGGGAAATGTTTTAAATGGACAGATAAAGAATTTCGTTCGTTTACTACCTTAAAGGATAAATTAATTGGCCGACCAATTTTAGCTATATACAATCCTAATTTTGAATCTGAGTTGCATACGGATGCAAGTTCTTTAGGCGTGGGTGGGATATTGATGCTATAGCGGCCGGAGTCGCGTGCTCTTAAGCCAATAGCTTACTTTAGCCAGTAAACCGCCCCGGAGGAGCGTCACTTGCACTCTTATGAACTCGAGACCCTTGCAATTGTATGTTCGTTAAAGAAATTTAGGGTATATTTTTTGGGGATTGAGTTCAAAACTGTAACAGACTGTAACGCTATTCGAACTACATTAACGAAACGCGACTTAATACCCTGAATAGCTAGGTGGTGGCTTTTAACAAGTGAATTCAATTTTAGTATAGAGTACCGGCCAGGCATCCGCATGGCTTATGTGGACGCACTGAGCCGTAACACGAAATTAACACCCGAGGTTATCGATAATTCTACAGTTACAGTCTATAGTATCGACACTGATAATTGGCTCTTGACTTTACAAATGTCAGATCCTGAGATATCCCGAATATATAAAATTCTTAAGCCTTAGTCTGATAGAGAAGCTAAAGATATTAGGAGAAACTATTTAGTTAAGAACTATTTAGTTAGAGTGTATAGGAGAGTTGATGATAAGATCTGTTTAGTAATTCCTCGCAGTGCTCGATGGCAAATGTGTAAATCTAACCACGATGACGCAGGTCATCTAGGAATATCAAAGACTACCGAGAAGATTCAATCTGTTTTCTAGTTTCCTAAGTTACGTAGAATTGTTAAAAAGTATGATAAGTCTTGCATTAAGTGTGCCTATAGGCACGCAAAAGGCATAAGGATAACGCGTCTCGACATATGAATGGTCAGTTGTATCCGATAGAGAGGGTAAGCATTCCGGTCCACACCATTCACATTGACCACTTGGGTCTATTTGTCAAAAGCAAGAACGGCAATATTTACATTCTCACCATAGTGGACGGATTTACCAAGTATTTGTTTGTAAGAGCTGCTAAGGATACAAAGACTAAAACAACTGTTAAGGTATTGCTAAATATTTTTATGACTTCGGTTTACCATCTCGAATTATATCAGATCGAGGTACCTCTTTCACTTCAGCAGCTTTTAAATCTTTTTGCGATACTCATGGTATTAAACATGTTTTGAATGCTGTTGTGTGTCCCAGAGCCAACGGCCAAGCCGGAAGATATAATTAAACGATCTTAAGCTCACTTGTAAAGTTTTCTGACGGTGAGGACGAACGGAACTGCGACATGTGTGTGTAGGAAAAATTCAGTGAGGAATTAATAATGCAACTAACTCCACCACTCAAAAGACAGCTACGGAAGCATTATTTGGAACCAGATTGGAAGATAGCCTAAGTAATATGTTAGATATAAATAATGAGTCTAATCCAAACTGTACAGAAGTGAGGCAAGAAGTTCGTATAAATATCCGGTCTTACTAATAAAAAAATCACTATACATACGTTATAACAAGGTGATAGTAATTCAGTGAATAGAGCTTGTACAGGGCATAAACACCTCTTTGACCAATAATCGATGTGTATTGGTTAAATAAATAACAAAACGACCCTTATTTATTGTTACCCTGGCAACCCGACGTGTTTGATTGACGTTTGATTTAATAATTCTGTTACAACTCATAATTCTAATCTAATAGAAACTCCAAAAAAAATCAGACAAAGAGGACTTGAATTTTACATAATAAGCCGCGTTCTGCAGTAGGTACAAAGGTTAGAAGAGGCATCTCAAATAGTGGAAAGTAGTAACGGATTGCACCGAGTTAGTAGACAGGATTCGCCGTGGATCAATATAAATGTGTCCGAACATAATGATAATTTAGAAGCAGTAGCTAGCAGCAGTAGTACGTCTGATAGCGAAAGTAACAAAAGTGACAATGAACTATCACAAAATCAATCTGAATCCAAATAACAGCCGAATGTAATGAATTATTGATTAAAACGAAATGTATAGATAAGTTACAATTAGTTCACATGAAACTAAAATATTTTGTTATGTACCTATTTGAATTTATAAAACCTTTCCATGATTATATACCGTGCGTCAGGAGATCGCACGTAGTCGGACGGCCGAATGTAATGAATTTGTGATTACTTATTATTATTTTACAAATTTATTATTCAAATCACGTTTATTTTTAATTAATGCCATTGTCATTATATTAAATGAATAACGTCAAGTCAAATTAGTGTAAAACCGTTAATAGAAATGGTTAATTTCGAAATGACTATTCAATGGTCGATAATAATAATGACTCCATAGTCATTATTATTATTAAACGTTATTTATCATAATTTTAAATATTAAATCAATGACTATAAATATTAAAGTAATCTTTGACACTCGTTCCTATGACTGTCGTTCGACTCTGTGGTCGATTCGGGTTCGGTCGTGGAACGAGTACACGAAATGTCACGAAACTGGAATTACAAATGCTGGTTGCTTAAATACAGGAACTGGTTGGTGTGGCCCTCAGTTCGATTGAGCGGTCTAACTAAGCAGAAGCCTTTAAACAGTAGACTCTCAATGTCGATATTAAATGGCTGATGCCAACAAACCAATCTATGACAATAAGGAGAAGTATTTGTATAATATAAATAGTCGAATATTGAGGATTCATAACATACATGCGGTTAAAATAGACTGAGAGCCGCAGACTTAGAATGATAGATCTGCAGATATTAAAACGGCAGACAAATTGCGATCACGTTTTCAGAATGAATTTTGATTCGTTTTGGCTTATGGTCACTCCCAAAAGAATCTCGATGAGAATAATGAATCCCCACTTCACCTACGGCAGGTAAATAGTATACGCCTCACGGTACGTGAAAAACGCCACCTTAGAACGCGACCTATGCCTGGAGAGCATCGACGACTTCATAGCACGGTCAGCCAGGAGCATGTTTAAGCAGGCGGACGCGTCCCGTTTCCCCCGTCTCCAGCACCTCACACCGTGGCACTCCAGGCCTCACGACACAAGACTTCCGTATCCACGCGAACTGTCATGCTCTGGTACCACCACCGGACCAGACACCGGGGCAAGGACGCAGCATCACCCGCAGGTCACCTCGCCGTTCTCGGCGGATAAACACAAGCAAAGCCGTCCTACTGTCAATGACATTTGTTGCCCGACGAGCCGACGACTCATATCAGTTTAAAATGCATCGACTTTAATCACATTCGACTATTAACTATTTAAAAAAAAAATTGTCACAATGGAGTGACACTTGACATATGAATTGTGAAATTTGTATGTTGTCATTTAGTATTTTCTTGTTCTAGGTGAAATATTTGTGAAAATCTGTTATTAAACACACTTGCAATTAATGTGCGTTTTCCAATTACAGCACTAGAGCGCATTTTGCGGCATAATGCTCAACGTCGAGTGATCCAACTACAGCAACGCTTCGCACAATTGAGCACTCTCAAAACGAATGCTCTCGCGAGCTTCTCGCAAACAATACCAACACAGTGACAGAAAATTGACCAGTATTTTTCTTTAAGTTGGCATTTATCGAAATTTTCGTTAGTAAATATTATTTATTGTTGAAAAATTTGTAAGGCTTTCGTTTCGTCGTAGATTTTGAAAATAATTAAAGTTATTTCAAACTGCTAAAAAAAAAATATTAGTATGGATGATAAATAGTTACTTTTTTTATATTCCACATTTAAAATATGAATACAATTTTATTTTAAAATTCGGATCTGTAAACAAATTTATTTTACAGGATTATACTTTAGAAAAAATTGCAATGGTTTTGAAAAGTATTTAATTTTTTTAGAAATCATTAAAAAATATTACTTAAAACGTAAATGATGTAAACTTCTTACATGAAACTAAATATTTTACTGTTAATTTAGCTTGTTAAAACCTTATATTCTTCTAAAGGTTTTCTATTATTTCAATAAAAAAAATGTTAATGAAATAATTTGATGATTAAAATAAGCGTAAAAAGTTTTCAACCAATTATTATTGTTTACCACATTATTTATACATTAATGAGGTTGCTAACTCAATTCATAACATTTTTTTTACAACACTGACTTAGCGCACTCTGCTGATGCATTTGAAAACTAATTCACGTTCCAATTAAGCTTCAGAATTATGCGGCATTGTGCGGCACTGAGTCGCAAAATGCTCTGTACCAATTGGAAAACGCACAATAATTTACAGATTCTGAGAACTTCAATGTCACAATGGAGTGACACTTGACATATGAATTGTGAAATTTGCATGTTGTCATTTAGTATTTTCTTGTTCTAGGTGAAATATTTGTGAAAATCTGTTATTAAACACACTTGCAATTAATAATTTACAGAATCTGAGAACTTTTATAAATAATCTTAAATCCTGGACCTGTAACAACTCTACTTTACATAAACTTGTATTTAAAACAATGGATTCATGTCTGGGCGTAGAACAGGATTTAGACAAAGCAACAACAAAATTTACAGGGATTCATGATCATACGAACAAAATCCTGCAGGATCTGTTAACCCAAGTCGAAAATATAAAGCAGGAAATCGCTAAACGTAAGTATTGTCCTTTATTTCCATATAATTATGATGAGCTTTAGGAAATTGTGTCGTCATTGTGTCGTGAACATGAACTAGCAATTTTGATTTGTTTAAGGTTTGATTAGGAATTTTTTTCAAGACATTAAGTATATCGTGAAAAAATTCTTTTACTATATTTAATACAGTATATTTAGAGTAGAAGTACTATCTTATTATTGTATGTGATGAGTAACAAATCACAATGAGCCTCTTTATACGATTATTTTTAGCTCTTTTCTATATACAGAACCTGTTAAAGGCTGTATACTTATTAAATTACCTACTTGATTATATTATTTTTTTTTAAATATTGTATAAACTTTTTCTTTTTGACTTCAGAGCCTGAAAATGAACAATTATCTGAAGATCAGGCATTATTGGTTAGTGAGTTAGCAGCTACATTGAAGCAAACAGTATTTCAGATGTCAACAGGTAATTTAAATTTATTATAAAAATCCATATGATAAATCATACTTCGTCTATTCAAGACATTCACATTTATAATTCCTGGATTAAGGACACAATCAGTTTTTAAACAAAATATTAATGATAATTTATTGTAAAACTATAACTCAAGGAACAGTAAACCTTTAGAGTTTCTTTCTATGGCAATTTATTTTTTTATGAAACCTTTTTTCTAATTATAAGATATGCAAAATTATCAATAATGTATAAAAATAAGAAAAAAAATCTTTATTAAAATTTGTTGTATTTCTGTTTCAGAGCATCGTGAACTTCATGCAACAGTATCCAGAGTTGGAAAGTCTATTGACAGGCACTTTATTGCAGATTATGCAACTGTTGCACCAAAGGCTGAATCGTTTTGTAGTGAAACTAATAGACCCATTATGGAACAGGCTATCGCACAACATTTGTATAGACAGGTAAAGTTGTTACACAATTTATATCAAAATAATTATCATTAACTGCCGGCACTGAGAATGTCTATAATAAGACTACATATTCAATATTATAGAAAAGAATGATACATGTATATGAAACCACAATAGATATAGTGTTTCATTGTAGGAACAACCTATAATTCGTCGTCGCGTCAATTACGGGTAGTCACGGCGTGCACATTGTGTCCTCACAAAAAAATACTAAATAAATAGTTTTCCTTAAAAATATTTAGTCTAAAGTGCTTATTCGGCTGTAATAGCGGAGGTTAATAAAGGTAATTCAAGTTTTAAAATCGTGTATCGTGGTTTAACTTAACGGACTTTTCTTTTCTTCAAATTTAAATCAAAAGTGTGTGGCAGTTAACAGGGCTATTTGCTTAGAGAAACGGACTTTAATTACCAAAACTTTAAGGACTTGGTGTAAAGTGTATACGTGACTTGCGATAAATCTTGCATTAGTCACTTTTAAACAACCTATTATAGAAGACTATGAGACTGCCCTGTGCAATTTGTCAGAAAAATATTTCAGAATAGATAATCGTAACTATTATTAAATGTATTTTTCATATACAATATGGTTCAATTGGCTCCTTCAGTAGGTGTCATCAAAAAGCTTTAGAAAATATGTGAAGAGTTTGCGGCAGCTCATGGTCTCATATCCAATACCGATAAAAGTAATATATTAGTATATTTCATGTCATGCGATAATAAAGTTCCAACAGTATTGCTTAACGGTATATATTGCTGCCCTGGAGGTTTGCACTTAGAAGAAGTCAAAGTTATTCTGTTCAAGGCTTATTGTCAGTCATTTTACTTGTACAGCATATGGGCCCGTTCAACCAGAAGCATTGAATACACTCCGCATTAATAACAGGTTTAGGTTGCTATTGGCCTTGCCAATGTTCTGCGGTTCGTCAGGTGTGTTTGCCGAGAACCGAACGGACGGTTTTAATGCCATTCGGTAAAAGGCTTCCTTTATGCATCGGCATAGCACCAGTGGTGTCCTGAATGCGTTGATTACAATGAACACAGTTTTTTACATAAATCAGTTTTACTTATAATCTCTACTGTAAATTCAATTTATGTAATTTACTTATTCAATAAAGTTGTGTTAAAGAAGTTTTGTTGCAAAGAATAAATATTGTCAGAGAATATTTTAAGAACATAATTGGAAACTTTTGGTTCTTATCTTACCGTTTCGTAGTGCAAAGTAGTTATCTAAATTGGTGCAAATTGAACGCAATTTTGGTCAGCAAATAATGTATCAAATTTCTATTCATATCTGTTCAAGAAGTTTCATTGAAATGGGTAATACGAGTATATCTGTATTTTATATTTAGGGTCTCGAAGACGTGGGCGACGTGTTCGTTGGCGAAGCGCACATTCCGCCTGTGGAGCGTACTTGTACGTTCGCTCAACTGCAGCGCTGTGCGGCTGCACTTTCGGACGGAGACCCGGCGCCTGCATTGCAATGGGCGGAGAAAAGGGCTCAGGAACTTGCACATTCACCGCTCCCCTTTACCCTGCATAGGATGCAGGCCCTCAAGGTGATTGCAGTACCTGAGTCGACTGGCTATCTTAAACAAAAAACGTAAAGATTTGGGTTATTGCTTGGATTGATAGAAAGTAGGTATATTCGATGGGGGGCAACAGTGTTTTTATAATGTTACTTTGACCCTGATAAACATATATTCACTCAAAAATGTATCAAAATGTGACAGTCCAATTTTTCACTCTCAAATGATTTTCAGCTAGCCCGCGAGCAGGGCGTAGTATCGGCGATAGAGTACGTACGCAAAGAGTTCCCGGCGTACGCATCACGCCATGAACGCCAATTGCAAGCCGCGGTGTGTGCGCTCGCTTGGTGCACGCCCGGTGCGCCCACTCCGCCCGCTAACTACGCGCACCTGTTAGATCCTAAGGCACTTGGTACGTTCCTGTGTTGTGAAACTTAATTTTAAAATTTAAATATACATGGAATGAAACATTTAGATCAATAAACATGTGTGTGCGATATGAAAATGGCAGTCGTCTACGTAGACTGTCTCACCTGGAACCAACACAAGTAGTAATTTTGCTTCCGTTGTATCTCGAAGTCTGTTTAGTTAAATGTTATCATTTAAATTAATATACAGTTTACATGCAGCCTTTAAAATAAATTCAGAATAGACTTTATTTATATAGGTTTAAAGAATTATTGACGTACATTTACCGTTTCTCAAATCAAATAATAGAACGGACTATAACTGACTATCAGTTTTTAAACCTAAGTTTTTTTTTACAAAATGTTTGTAAGGAGCTGTCTCCATTACATCACGCTCTTCCTCAAATCTTAAACCATACTAGTAGACTCGGCCAAGCGTTGCTGTGGCTAAGATTTTTGTTATATTACATAGTAGTAAACTATTCAAGAGAAACGGCAGGAGAACACCAATCCACCATGCTTTTTTGGTGGTTATGCCATTAAATTGCAGCTTATGTGAAACGTTGGTAATTATTTTGATAAGGATCAATGCCTAGGTACGAACAAAGAGCCTTTTCTAGCGGTGGTATTTTAATAAAAAAAAAAATAAAAAATGGACGCGTAACTATAAAAGATAGAGACATGCTGTTGCGACATTTTTTATAGATAGTGATGTATCCTGAAAAATTGTATACATAATTTTGTTCTATCATTAATAGTTTTCGCAGCGCACGCGATTGTAGGAAGTTTTTTTATTTATTTTTTTACACCTTGGGTTAGATGGGTTAGATTATTCAAGTTTTAGTAAGCATCCCTAATTTTTTTTGAAAATGAAACATAGCCTATGTCACTCGGGAATAGTGTAAATTGCCAACGGTGAAAGAATTTTTGAAATCGGTCCAGTAGTTTCGGAGCCTATTCATTTCAAACAAACAAAAAATCAAACCTTTCCTCTTTATAATATTAGTATAGATGTAGCATATACATATTGTTTATTAATTCCTCATAATATTTATAATCTTAAAATTCTCATATCAAATTTATTATTTATTGAAATATTATCGACACTTTATCTTCATCTTTTATCGACACACGCACACGTGCGTGCACGCGGGTAACCGGGTAGTAGTGCGTGCGCCAGTTCGCTTTGTGACTTATTGTTGAGTGTTAACATTTCATATACCTATTATTTTGTTATCGTTATATCATCATCACCTATATGCTAATCAGAGATATGTTGCGACCCTTGGCTTTCGACAGCTCCGCTGAAAATAAGTATGGCGTTTACGGGTAAAGAAACAGCATTCTAAGCGTTATTGACGTTGGTTCATTTCACAGGTATTTTTTTTTCATGGGCCTGTAGTCTATTAGTATTTAATTATTGTCTAACGATGATCTATGAACGTAATCAAACAAAATCCTCGATCTAGGCGCAGAGGCAGCGGAGTTGTTCATTCGCGAATCGTGCGCAGTGTTGCGGTTGGCCGCGTTGTCTCCTTTAGCGGGGGCAGTGGTTGCCGGCGCAAGAGTTCTACCGGCCTTACACGATATTCGGGCTAAGATGAGCCACCCCAATGTTATCGCAGCCTGGGCTGACGATGAACTGCCTCTGGAGGTGAGTGAGTTGACGAGAATTCTTTCTAATATCATTTTATATATTATAACATGACAAATTTTATTTTATTTATATTATTTTTGGTTAGATATTTAATCTATTTACTAGCTGACCCGGCGAACATTGTTTTGCCATGTATATTATTTAGCAAACATTTTTTTAGTTCAATAAAAATAACCATCTACAATAATAATAAATATAAAAATTTATGGGGATGAAAAATAGATGTTGTCCGATTCTCAGACTAACTGAATAAGCATAAAAAATCTCATAAGAAGAGCAGATTCGGAGGAGTATGGGAACGAACATTGTGACACAAGAATTTTAACTTTGTTAAGGACCGAGATCTACTGTCTCTGCCCCGTGGTACTTATAAGCCTTCCCTTTGATTACTTAGCGTATTAGATAGGCAAATGCTTTTTTCTATGAGTGCTCAAACGGTGGAAAATATTGTGAAGAATCCACCACCACGTTAGACTCGTGTGTGAGGCAAAAAAAAACGTGGGGACTGCCGCGGTAAAGCTATTGCATAGCATTTTTTATCAGCTTATGCAATTATAATTATTTATTTATGCAGTATTTTTTTTCTATGGTATTAATCCAAGTTTTTTTCTGTAATATTAATTCAATCTATCACTCTACCAGACTCAGACTAACACGCCTATAATTATAATCTGTCTTACTCTAACGCGTACCGCCTGCACCGGCCGCGCTTACGCTACGTCACCGATCTCGTCAGAGAGATGTGAATACGCAGTATGCGTTCTGTCCCACTCTATCGCACCTGCGTTACGTCACCGATCACACCAGACCGATGTGAGACGCAGTATGTCTGTTCTGTCCCACTTTAACGCGTATTGGCCTCACCTATATTACGTCATCGTGTGTTAGGTTTTTATTTTCGTTACAGAATTTATTGATTCGGTCGCGATAGATTTTATCGCGCTCAAAGCCCGCTATAAAATCTATGCAATAGCTTAATAACACTAATAACAATAATCCAATGGCGCTACAACCCTAAATATGTCGGCCACAGATTGCGTGCATTTGATCATTAATTATATTTCATAGACTGATCAGCCTTCTGTCTGACACATATAAATTTTTGTGTCTAAGATATTCCGGTTTCGTCAAGATGTTTATCTACGAGCAAGTGTTATTCTGCACATAGAAAATCCGACGACATCTGGGAATCGAATCAGGAATGAGATTCGGACGCTGAAGCCACTCGGCCAGCTTAACACTTAACAATAATTAATTGTTTTATTAATTAAATAGAGAAATCTGAAGCCTAGACTCGGAATTGTAACGACATTGTTTTTCTTACCACAGTGACTGAGTAAAGGCCTGTATTCACTTTGATTAGTGCGAGTGCAAGTGATTAGTAATTGAGGATGATAAGTGCAAGTAGTGTCCAATTATTTTTTAATAGTTAAATTCAGTTGTCGATAGTTTGGCAGGCACGCTGCGAGTGAGGGGGAAGGGTGGGCGTACGCGACGTCACTACTCGCAGTTCACTCGCAAAAAAATAGAACACGCTTCTAATCACTTTACTACGCAGCCAACTAATGACCTGCACTAATCACTAATCTATAAAATATATAAAATTTCCTATAAAATATATACCTATTACAGGTGGAGTTAGGTGAAGACGGGGGTGGCTACCATTCAGTGTTCGCGTGTCCGATCTTACGTCAACAGGCCTCCGAGCTGAACCCACCAATGAGGCTCCTCTGCGGTCACGTCATATCACGGGACGCTTTGAATAAACTCGCTATGGGCGTTAAGTAAGTAACACTTATTTACAGAAACAAACGCATATATTTTAAAGAAAATGTAGGGACATATATGATTTTTTTCCTTATAAAAAAACATTACTATGGTTTTGCCAATCCAATTTTTGTATATTCTATCTGCACTTCAAGAATTTCTAAGAGGCCGGCACGCACGAGCTCTCATAGATTGACTCAATTAAGGCTGTTTCCTGCTATAGGCCCCATAACATTATATTTTAATTAATTTAAGTGTATTATTATAAACAGACGCAAAGTTTTATATCAAGCTGAAATAATACTGCGTCAAAATTGTCATTAACTTTATTTCGCCGGGAATCAAACCCACGATCTTCCTTTTAACTCTTAGCTAATGTTTTATTTCCTAAAAGGCAAAGAAAACAAATAATTGTCATCGCCCCTAGTCCCATTGGCCCAAAAGCATTTATTTTTGTTTCAGATTGAAATGCCCATATTGTCCCATGGAACAATCGCCAGCCGAGGCCAGACAAATTTATTTCTCTTGAATTGTTTCATGTTTATTGTAATATTAAGTCTGTACATAAATTTTACTTAAAACTAAATCAGTTTATCTGTTTTAAATAAACCACTGATTTAAATTTAATTTAATTTAACAATTTAACATTTAATATATAAACGCCAGTTTATTGACATTTTGAATGCTTGACAGTTTGTTACTTGACTGTTGACAGATAACTATGTTTTTATCTGTCATGTTGACATTCTATAATGTCTATTAAAATGTTGCCGTGTAATGCCGCAGGGTAAGAGCATATGGCAACATTTATTCTCACATTTAAATTTGTTTATTAGTTTTTGTTAAATAGTGATTTCCGTGTTAAAACAGAATAAGACTGATTTAGTTTTTTAGGATTAGAAATTAATATTGATAAAAAATAAATTGTCAGTGAGCAAATATATGACTATTAAAAGACTTTAAGTTTATATTACATTTTTAGCCTCAGAGTGATCCTTTGTTTCAGAGGAAATAAGAAAAGTAATGATTCCTTAAGAACTAGATGGTTTTTTTTATATTAAGATACAGGTATCACTTATTCCACGTCATTAAAAATCGGTAGGCATCCCTACTCATCGGCAAAGAAGACAGAGGGTGTAGGCCGAGAGAAAAAGCCGGCGTAAAAAACTCTCGGTACTCTATTAAAATCACAACTATATAAACAGAGCAGTTCTGTCCTTCAGCGTGTGACTCTCATCCTTGAGGTCGTAGGTTAGCTGTGCTCCAATAATTTTCTATGTGCGAATTAGCATTCGCTCGAACGGTAAAGGAAAACATCGTGAGGAACCGACTTGCCTTAGTTGCCTTGGAGGCTGATCACCTACTTGCCTATTAGATAAACAGATGATCATATAAGAGAAACAGAAATCTGAGGCCTAGACCTAAAACGGTTGTAGCGCAACTGATTATTTAAATTTTAATTATATTAACAGATTTTTTAATTTGGCAACAAAAAGTCGGTTCTGAGGCCTTAATAATGTAATAAAATTCAAAGAAACGTGAATAACAAATACCCTTTTAAACTAAGTCACTTTTATTATTAGGAAAAAAATTTAATTATTCAAAGTTATAGATTTCATCTATTAGCTTTATATTCCTCTTTATATATAGTTATGTAAATGTTTAGTAATGTGTAACGAAATGATTTAAAATATTTTAAGTGATTAAATTTTAAAAGAATCTAATAAACTCGTTTACATTCTTTTACTATGAAATAATGATAATACTAATTTGGCGGGTAATAATTTAAAATCAAATTCTCAAATCAGATTGTCAAACGTAATGTTGCGTATCTGTGTTTGAAATGTGGTTGACGTAGAATGAAGCTAAAGGCGTCATTTACATCCAAAGACAATAGAACCTTATACGAATTATTTCGTGATTTAAAGAAATTTTATTAATAAATATGAGAAATATCATTGATTGTTTTGTTTTTGCACAATTTTTGTGTTTGTTCCTATAATTGGTTTTGAATAATTTAGATATAGTTATAATTTAAAGAAGTATTAATACCCATAAACGTATCGTTTCTACATCTAAGCCAGTATTCGGATGCGTTAAGCGAAAAATTAAGCTATTGGGCAAATATAATAGTTTAATGTAGTTGACTAGTATAAATTACTATTTATGTATTAAATTATTATATCAAAACTTGATCATCAGAAATACCACTAGGTATATTAATCACATACATAAGACAAATGTCTGTATAAGATTCGCACTGTGACAAATATTTTCTCGAAAATCATACCTATTTATGTACCATAAGCCTATTTTAGTAGATTTTTCTTGTGTCTGTCTACCAGTGATAGGGATATTTTAGGTTTATAGTATGTATAAGGAGTATCTCTAGAGCAGCAGGTGTTATTTATCATAGAGCGAATCGTTAGACTAAAAAGGAGATTTTATACATTGATCAATTAAATATTAACATAGACTATTACATTATAGACTGGTTATAGAATATTGTTCTTTTGCAATAAAGCATATTTAGAATCATTGGACTTTTATTTATAACCTTGTGGTGCAAAGGCTTTGTGTTTGCAGTGCACATTGGCACTTCACTATAGACAGCGTATCTAGCTAAGTTCAACAAAATAAGCTAAACCAGCGGCGCTATTTCTTACCACTCATTTGAAATTGTTTTTGATTCATTGGAATACAACTTCCTTATCGGATATAGACGCTAATTTTTTTATAGAGGCTCACCTGATGGCATGGCTTGAGCGAGCGAGTGCGTTGCCTGCCTTTTAAAAACTGTTATGATTTCTTGATGGACCCTAAGTCGAATTGGTTCGGAAACACTTCTGTGGACAGCTGGTTCCATAGCGGTGAGCGCAGAAACTGCCATAAAAACGTTCAGTTGTGGAACGGCGGACGTCGAGGTGATACGGATGAAATTTCTGACTGACGTTTATTCCTATATTTTAGTTAATTAAAACTACTCGAAATACTGTATTTAGGAATAAAAAGCATTTTACATGTTTTACTCGCCTTCATACCATTCACATTGGCACGGGGCAGATTATTTTAAATTCTATTTTATTATATCTATGTACATTATTAATATATTATTAATCATAATTAAACCAGACCTAGTTTTAGTTAATAAAGTCCTTTTATAGGAGAGAGGAGATTAGACTCTCCCCTGCTGTTTAGCTTGGCCATAGATTTGATCACATGGTTGGCTATTAACCTTATTATTCGCTGGAACCCAAAAAGAATACTTCGTTTATGCACAACCGGGATTTGCTATGCACTTGAATTATTAGGTTTTCGTTGTTAAATAAATAAAACAGAAACTCATCGGTACATAATTTATTTAAATGGATATGTACAGAGAAAGATTTTTGACAAATAAAAATTTTGGCATAAATTTTCAACAATAGCAATAAATATAATTGGTGTCATTTGCAAGCTGGCGAAAATATTAACAACATTATACTTAAATATAGTTCGGTAATATCAACTTAACCTAAGTGACGTCACTATCGCTATATTAGACGTATCATGGAATCGTCATTAAATATTTGAGAGACTTATTGCGTTGTACCCTTAGCACAATTTGTACGAACTAACGTGATATAATATAAAATGCAACAATACTTTTTGTATGAAAATATTGGATGGTTCACTAAAAACCACCTTACAGACATCAATTGCTTCCCCAAGCTTCAGTCCGCTGTGTGTCAGCCAAATAAGGGTTATTGTTTACATACAAATGTTGGGTGTGGTTCCCACGAGAATGTAAGTGCGTGCCCGTATTTCACCATGCCTATACTGCTGATAGAGGACAAATCTTTGTTTTTATTTTCGTTATATATTATAAAGATGTGTAATGGTTGCAGCTTACAAAGATTTTGTAAAACAAAAAACTTGGCGATTAAAGAGTGGTGGAGAGTTTATTGCTAGTTCTCGTTCGTTCTACGCCCTTAATTTGAGAACTAGCAGTAAATGTAAAATTAGAAGCATTTATTTATTGATGTTCATAAGTGTACACTGTGTTACCTAAATAAATAAATGATTTTGAATTTGTAATTACTAATCCTTTTTAGCGAAAATACGTTTGACGCATGATATTTCTTGTATAAATGAATAAATGTTTGCAAAGTGTTCGTACTTCGAATACGAGACAAAATATGAAAGAATGTGCTAAGGATCAGTTAAGTGATTTTCTTTGTAAAGCTGTAAATCATAATCAACGCAATTTGTCCCTCAATTTTTATAACCATTATTATTGTATAAACCATATTATGTTAGAAACATTGAAACAGGTATTTCAGAATTCATGTTATTTAATTCAGGTATATTATATACGATAACGACGTCAACAAATTCATAAAACCATAACACCAACCAAAATCAACATAAGTGTTTTCGTTTTACGAACCGATCACTAGGAAATAATAACAATTTCACTAACCTAAAATAAAATAAATAAATTAAATTATGATTTCGATAAATGAGCCGTAACAATTTTAATATCATATCGATATAACTTCAGTTTGGAAGCATAAACAATTTACAGCAGTCCGTTTAAAACGAAGACGATTGTTTATGGTTACACAAATTGTAGAATAGTTTGATATTCTGTGCTTTTACTTTTGACAGTTCGTTTTATTTAAATGCGATCCACAATTCAATAATCACATTTAAGTCAATTGCTTAAATAACACTCCAAAATACATCACAGACATATATTTATTATGCATTCTTGTCTACGGTTGACAGCTGCTGACAGGTGTCAACGTCACTGTCAAAAGTAAAAACACAAGCCGAATAACTTCAAAACCTCAAGTGTATCACACTTAACATTAGCCTACGAGCGAAAAATCTACATTATAATTAATTATTGCTGTATGTTCTACATGTTTATAACACCAAAAAGGCTAATAGGCGAGGCAGTAAAAAGTCCGCGATTTAAACCCGTAACAGACTAAAACTATCCACGCGGGCTCTTTACCATATTTATAAGAGAAATTATGAGTTAGATGGAAGACGCTTCTAAATACAGCATTCACTTTAGCATACTTAGCCTAATATATCTTTCTGGTATTTGGATTCGCTTGCATAGGACTCTCATTTGGCACAAGTGATATGAAATAAAGCGAGGAGCGAAACTTAACTTCGGATTATTTCCTAATAAAATATTGCTTTACGAATCAGTCGTCCATCAGTCTAAGTTAATCTAATGTATATAATATATAGATCAGACGATTACGCCTACGAAGTTCTACACACGCTACGACGGTTATTGAAAAGATTAGAAAAAATTTCATACTTATTTAATTTTGATAATTTCGAAACGCGAAAAGAGCAGGCACTTGACACAAATTGCGTAAATAGCCATTTAATTACATAAATAAATCGACAAATTTTTAAGCTACAACTCTATTTCAACTCCCTTTAAAAAAATATAGTTTTATTCCCCCCAATGTAACGCGCCGTACCCAAGTATAGTAAAACGTTTCGTGACCACCTAGTGACCATTATCTGGTGTAAAGTACTTGAAAGTCGAAAATAATATTAACAATAACAAGTAGTTCGATCCCCGCCCCGTATCGTAACGTTAATACTTGAACGCCCCCTACGTCACTTACGTTTAAATAACCAATTCTCGATATAGTGAAAGTTTACTACTATATATTTCGAATTTACTATTCGAAAACATTCGTGATTTCGTTTAGTCATGTTATTGTTACTATTCGAAATATAATTTTTTAACGAGACTAGTAAAAACGAATCGTAGCTCGTTAAGTATATAAAACCAGTAAAAGATCATTTATTATTATTTCACAGATTATTTATAAATATAAACCGATTGGCGTAATATTTATGACGTCTAAATGAACCAAGAATCTCTTTCTTAAAAGATCTTTATTAACCGAATATATATAAAATCGAAAATAGAGTTGTAAGCTTTGTCGACGATCGTTATGAAACAACACGAAGATACGAATAGACAGACTCGAAGAACACAGCGTTGAACACAAAACTTTGCTTACAGCTAATTATATACAAGTTATATATTAAAATAAAGTTGATCTTTGTTGGTATTGTTACGAACGTGGAATTAACACTCGCAACAAACCCAATTTAGAATATATTTATTTTTAAACTTTCGGTCGTAAACAGTTAAGCCGTCGAAAAGTTTGACGTAAAATATTTTTTGGATGAACCCATACGTTAATTCGTCTCTAAATTTCACTATGGCACTCATTGTTGTGATGAGATTATTTAGAAAATTAATTTATTGTAAATAATAATTATTGTTTCATAGAAATTGAGCCAGAATTTCTAAATTTCCAAAATTTTTACGATCACGACGGCGTACGTGACGTCACACGTCGCGGTCGCTCCGCATTTAGCGGCAATACTTAGGTTAAATACCTTGACCATAATTTATGAAAACAAACTTGAACAAAAAAAAGATGACTTCTCGTTTTAGAGACGCATAGTGAAAAACCGTTCAAAATAAAAATGGCGCTCATAAGTGACAGATCACTATAAGCTATTTTGTGTCTTACGCGTAGTTTTGTTCTTAGAACTAATATGTAATAATCACTTTGTGGGCTTGGCCCAGGTTAAATATGAACTTCCAGTTAACGCAAATTATGAAGGAACTCCAAAACATATATCCAAGACTGCCACGAGCTTCTGCCCCAAACTACGTAACAACTGTAGTTTGGATATACGAACCGGACAACAAAACCTACTTATTGAGCAGAGAAACGATTGTTCAATGTATTACTTAAAACTAATTGCTTTTTAGCGTGTCTGAAATAGATTACAGAACATAGACGACAAAATAAATTTGTTTGGTGTAAATAATATTAAAAACATTGGCTTGCCAAAACTAATCTATAAAATTCCGGTAACTGTTAATTATTCTACATACCAAAAAAATAACAACAACACAATCCAAATATGAACTAATCACGATTCAACTAAATTTAAATTAATCTTCAGAGTGGCCAACGCTTTGGTTATAACTCACAAGGTAAATAAAAAATTCTAAGTTTTGAATAGTAAAGTATTATAAATACTTCAAAAGTTTTAATAATTCATAACAAATATAAACATGGCAAAACCTTTTTGACCGGGTATGATAGGTTTAAGAAACATTTTCACAAGTGACACCTGTCAAACGTCAACCTTCAAATTGACAGCTCTAGAAACTCAATTAGGATTTAAAAAAAGTTTTGCTTCTTGACGATTTAAGTAAAACTTCTTTATCGGAATGTATGTCACGTTGTCAGATTTCTCTAAACGTGGAATTAAAAAAAAACATTTTCAATTACTTGCTAGACAGTAGTCCTTTAAATAAAAAATAAAAAAATTGTACGTACATACGTACTAACTTCGTAGTAGTTTTCCGTTAAAGAAGCCTCCGCAAACAGAATATTAAATTCCAAACGCTGGCCACCCCAAACGAAGTAAACTAAACGCCTCACCCGAAGTCCCGCTAGCTAAGTGCGGTGTGCGTGTGGCTGGTCACCCCGGCTAAGTTGAGCAAGGCCTCGGCCGTGCGCCTCTCCTCGCCACTGCCGCTGTACGAGTGCTCGTCTCTTGCGCAACGCGATATCACTAAGTGCGCTTCGGGTGGCAGCTGGAATTTTTTTCATAAATTATTAACCCTTAACTCTATCGTTTCAGGAGATTAATACTCCAGTTGCAATGCAAGCAATGCAAGTAAAAAAAACGTTATGTACACGCGTTAGAAGTTATACTTCTTTGGTATAACAAGATAAAAATACGTTTGTAGAAAAAACGACACTAACAATAGAAAAAATTTAATACATTGTAAGTTTTATCAGAAAAGTCACTATCTAGTTAAATATAGTTTATTTAAATATCACGAAATAAAATGTTGACTATAGCTAACATTCGGTTGTCGATTTATTGAGACGGTATGCGCGCGTATCGTAATAATTTACTCTCATAATTTTTCGCTTACGCGCCAAAAGAAGTATAACTTCGAAATGTCATTGATTAAAATATACATACAAAACAATACGATGCCTTTAATTACAAAAGTAATCCCAACACAATACTGTGCTGGGATGTCAAATCTTAAAGAAAACTAAATTATAAAAGAGCGAAAGTTTTCTATTTAAATTAGTATGGATGTGTAAATTGTTTGTACGTATGGGACATACGATTGATACAATATGAAAATACATTTCGACTTTCAAGGGAAAAAATCTTCGGTTAAATATCAAATGTTGTGCACACACGTATTATCACGTGTTACGTAATGCTGTTTGTAAAAATAAAAAAAAATCAAACCGTAAAAATATTGTATTAAGTTTTTATGGAAGACTTGGGAACCCAGACACAGGTAATTTTTAAAAGGCTTCCCAAATCTCCCAATTTTAAGGAATAAATTCATTTTTATTTTATTGACTTAGAATACATTATTTTGATATATAAAAGCGTTATGGAGTTAAAAAAACTAGTAAATAATAATAAATTTATTAAAAACTCGATATATTTAATATTGATATTTATACGTCAGTCACGTGACAGAAGGGATTACTCGAATCGATGACGTAGCATGCTTGTAAATAATGTCTTCGCCAGTCAAATTCCAATACTGTCTTAAGAGTTTTAATTGTGTTGGAGTTAAATTTTGTCAGAGACTATTTTGATCAAATTGTAATATGTGTGTTTGTGAATGATCAATTAATAACACGTACAATCTTGACGTTTGGTTACATGTTTACAAGCATATTACGTCACAAGTTAGTCATTAATAAAAAATCTGAAATGGTTTTTTAAATCTTGTCAATCCTACTGATTATATACGTTTTATTTAAATATAAAATATTAACCTGGTCTAAAACAGCCGGGCCATACTTCATGGCGAGTACGGTAGCAGCCGCCAGATATTCATCAGCGCCAGGCTCACTGGTGTCGGCCAGACGACGAGCCAGGTACGGGAACAGTTGTGGGTCTGGGGCATTTTTGCCTGGCTCTGGGGTTTCCACCTCAGGCGGTGGGATTGGTTGCCGACCAAATGCCTGGAAATTATTAAGTTTAGTTATTATCTATTACTTTTAGTACTTTTTCTGAGTTATTTAATGTGATTTTGTGATTTATTTTGTGCCACATCTCGAAAATTACTGAACCGTACTTTAAGTTGAATGAATAAATACTCTCAACCAATTAAAAAAAATGATTTTTACCGCAGCGATAAAGAAGTAAACTGGCTTTAGCTAAGCAACTGACCTGCAGCAAGGTGGAGCGATGTTGAGGGTCTACTGTCCATAGAGAACCTTTGCCTACTCCGGGAGCTGCTGCAACCTGAAGTTATTGAATAACGGATTAAGTTTAGGTAAATTTATTGAAATAATAATAGGGCTGGGCCTCAGATGTATCTGTTTCATGATCTGCCAATCTAATAGGCAAGTAGGTGATCAGCCTCCTGTGCCTGACACACGCCGTCGACTTTTTGGGTCTAAGGTAGGACCTTAGGGATGAGAGTCGCACGTTGAAGCCACTAGGCCAACACTGCTTTTAGTTTACAGTGTATACTTTCTGTGTACTTATATTGGTTACTAAGTTTTTCTTAGCTAAGGAAATTCTCGAGTTAAAGTTCTCTGCAAAGAAAATTCAACTACTTCTGCTAGAGTTCTTATATTTCGAGCGTTCAAGTATTACGTTACGATGGGGGGCGGGGGGGGTGGGGGGCGCGTCCTTTTATAAAACGTTACGATGCGGGGCGGGGATTGAATTACGCTTTGTTGCTAATATTATTTTCGACTTTCCAGTACTTTGCACCAGATAATGGTCACTAGGTGGTTACGAAACGACAACGACATCCTAGCTTTAGAATCTATTTTCAATTCCAAAGCAAAACTAAAAATATCAGGTCGCGCACAGGTCACTCAATTGGCTTAAATAATCAATAACAGTTGAACCATTGGGGACCTTTAAGCAAAAGTAACTGCCACTCTGAGTACAATGGCAAAAAATATATTATAATTTCCTATTTTTAATCAACTTCAGATAAACCAAGGAACTAATATAAATAGAAATAAGAAATATTATTAATAAATACTTAAAAATGTTTTAATAACTCACCTTATGAAAACATTTATTCAATGACAAATTGTGCCGTACGCTGTTCTTCCAGCCTTGGGGCGCGTGTTTGAAGTATGGAAAGTGGCGAATTATCCACGCGTATATCTCCTTCACCGGCAGGGCTCGAGCTGGTGCGGCTTCGATGGCCATGAAGATGAGGCACGAGAAGGAGTAGGGGGGCTTTGTGTGGGTGGGGGAGGGGGGAGACTTGCAGGGTGTGCGAGGTGGGGAGGCCACGCGGGCTAAGGGGGGAGGAGTTTTCGATTCTGTCTGTGAGATACATAATATTATAACGATTGCAGCTGTTTGGTTGGATTGACTCTCGATATTTTTACCTATAAGTTCAAGATACCAAAAGTATGTAATCGATATCACGCCATAAATCAATCTATTTAGAATTTCTATATAAATAAAAATGTGTAAAATTATTTTGCTTGCGAAGCAAATTGACTGATAAAGTAGTTTTTTTAGGGTGAGATTCAGAAACGAACAATCAGTCTGACATACTCTTACAAGATACTATGTACAGCAACGGAGCGATATAATCTTGTTAAATAAATAGTAAAAAAAATATCTAAAGACGGTGTCCCCAGAGCTGGTGCTTTCCTCACTCAACGAATAAGTATCGCAATAGGATATGCTGCCAGCGTTAAAGATACACTGCCACAGGGACCAAACTTTTTAAATTCTTTTTAATTTTCTTTTTATTAATTTTTAATTATTTTTATTATAACTATGTTGTAAATACTGTATATTTGATTGTTGTTGCGGTTTTAAGACGGGTCACGTGATAAATTTAATACTATTAACGTATTAAAAACCCACTAAAATTAGTTTTCATGGGTTCAAAAAAATCCGAGTTAGTTGTGCTTGCTTATGACTAAACATACCTTGATAATAACTTCGTTCCTTAGAATTTTTGAGTCCTCCATATCGCTCTTTGTAGTAAGATTGATGCCTGAAAGATACGAATTATCTTGTTAGATAAATAATATTACAAGGTCCTTTTATATAGAGCAAAGTCGATATCTCAACATTATTTACACGAGTATTTATAGCGAAGGAAACCAATTTTTTAATATATACAAAATATATTACACGAAAGTTTTTTCTTATTATTCATAGAAGAATAGAACTGAAGTATTTCTTTTTTTTGTGTTGGAGACAAACTACGGGACGCCAAAAAAGACAGTCATTGCTGCCCATGGGCACCCATTTTAGTGGCCTTTGAGGGAGGAATATACTCTTTGAAAGGGACGACTCCCCGGGGGTCGATTCCATAGTTCGCTAGTTAGCAAAAGAATATGTTTTGAAAAGCGGACCGTGGAAGACATCCAGCCATCAAGGTGATGGTGAACAGTAGATAGTATGCTGAGACTAAATCAGTTAATACGGCTCGTACGCTGATGAAACGAGACAGGAGGGATCAACCCAAACAACTCTTCAGAACACTACATAGTAAACTTTGTAGTATACGCATAGAAACGTAATGTCTCTGGGTAGAGAGAGAGAGAATCAAGTCGATCTCCGAGATTAACAATTCGCCAAACCCTGAACGCTGAATTTGGTCAAAAGGAGACGTATTTCCTACACTTTTTAATTTCTAATGTTATTATCTCTTACATTGGATTTGAAATCAGGTCACACTATGTCTCGTCTCTGAACCCTGCGATCAGATCTAGAGAAGTCCTAGTTCTGGCATATTAAAATTCAATTCGAGTATTTTATAACAGTCTGTCGAAGTAAAATTATAGACGAGAGGAAAATAACGTGTTCAACAAAGCTTGTTGGGCTTCTGTTTTTCCGGAAAAATTCCCAAGAAACGTGCCGACATTTTCACTTTTTAATTTACGCAAACGCAAAATCTTATCGCACGTGACGATTGAGATACTGTTGCTGAGGAATAAAATATCAGAATTAAATTGATACAAGTAATTCTTTAACACATATTTCATACCGATAAGGTATTTTGCAAAGCCTATTAGGTGAGTAGACCTTGGCAGGCTGATTCATAAATATCGCTTCGATTAGTCTGGATTTAAAAAAATTAATTCTAAATGAAACTCAGACATATTTTTCTATCTTAGGATAAGGTGTTAAATTGATTTCCTTTCATATAAGTCATTAAAATACAGTACGTCAGTTTCTGGTGAATACGAATTCCCGCTTAGAACGCGTTTCAAGTGAATAAGATCTACTTAAATTGTTTATTTATTTATACTTCGTTACCATAAAGCGCTATCCACACATTTCCGGGAACTCGTCCCGGCCGTGATTCGTCAGGGACGGGTCACCACGGGTGACACCGCCGCCTGACACGGAGCTGTGTGAACAAGTTCATACAATTTGTACGTAACCGATTTCTTCCCCGTCCCTGACGGAACACGGCCGGGACGAGTTCCCGGAAATGTGTGGATAGCGCTTAAACATACATTAAAAGCAGGATACAGGTTATTACGCTACGGGCGGCCTTATCGCTACCAAGCGAAAAAAAAGAAATACAAGCAGTGCATAAATAATGATTAATTTGAAAACAATGTTTACATCTTGGCAAGGAAAAAGCGTTCAGATAATACTCCAGCATCACGATGGTATTAAATCTGTTTATAGCAGTTGATTCAGCACCAAAAACCCGTTTTAACTAAGATTAAGAAATAACTAAAAGCGTTTATATTGAAAATTCAAAGACCTCTGAGTAAATTCCTGTCCTGCAACCAGCTCAGACTCGTCAGATCGTCATCATTGTCTGCTGGTGGGAGGGTCCCGGCGTTACCACCACACGCTAGTCTGTAATTTAATTTGTTAAATTTTCATTTACATACATTTCAATGTATAATCTAACCATATATGCAGATGCCACAGCTGCCAAGAACTTTCTGAATCGTTAATTACTTAAAAATAATAAATCTGATATTTTTAACATAACCTTGATATTAATCCTGAAAGTTTGATTATTAACAAAGTTAATAAATATACAAAAACACCTTTACATTGTATACCAATTTCCCTCATATACAAGCCAGGTTAAATAACGTAAACATATATACGTATAGTATTTGCGAGTGAAGAAAATATAAAAATGCTTGTATAACGTTAATATGTCCCCATGCACGAGAAACGAAAAACGATGGCGTGTGTCAGACAAAATTGTAAAGCAAAGTCTAACTTGTATAATAAATGATTTAAAAAAAACGTTTATTTGCAAAGTGGTATATCAGATTCATTAATTATAAAAATCCGCACAATCGGCTATATAGAAATAGGCATGCAAATGTCATATAATAAGTCTTTGTAACTGGTCTAGGGTCAGCGAGTTTTTGAACACGTCGACAATTTTTTGAATTCATCGTAGTGCAACATACAAAAAAAATAAATAAGAAACACAATTTGAAGCCAACACTTATTATTGTTTAAGTGTACTTGCGTAAGCCAAGGACAATTTTAAAATTTTTGTAAATTAATTAACCGTATTATAAAACCGACTTTACCGGGTCACCTAAAAATCAAGATATCAAACAGTTGGCATTGATTGATCGTAATGATAGCTTATCATTTAAAACATATAGGCGACATAACTTTACTATTTTTCCTAGTTTGAATCCAAAACACAATTAAACAAATATTAAGTATTAAGTAATAGCTTAAGGCTTAAGTCTGAAACTTGGAAGTCCTCTTCTAGTCCATTGAAATGTTACATGGGCTGAACATTTGTTAGAGGACGCAATTTTATTTATGGGACATGTAGAGGGGGAGTGTCCCCGGCCGCCATCTTGGAAAAAGGGGTGAAAACACGTTTTTGGCTATATCTCCTAAACTATCCACCGTACAAAAAAATTGTAAGAACTTATTTTGTAGCAAATCGCTTTGCCTATAATAATGTCTATCCAAAATTCAAATTCAAATTGCGTCCCCTAGCAAATGTTAAGTTTGGCCCACAACTTGCAACATTTCAATGGACTATTCTCCAAATAGCTTACAAACATAATTTTGTCACGAAACTGTCACCTCTAATCATTGAATCGTCAACGCTTAATGACATTCAATTAACGTTTGGTCACGTCATAAATTGCTGCTCTTAAACATGACACAAGGAGAACAATCAGATACTTATGAAAATATGTTATAAATTATACACGTGTGAAAATGACACGAGAAATTAAGAAGGCGCAGAGCTAACCAGATCCATTCAACTTCCTTACAATCGAGTAGATGGCACACAACTTACGAGGGGACGAAGCAACCGCAAATATACAATGTAAGTACATAAATAGCAATTAGGTAGGAATATAACAAGGCAAAAGTAATTTATAATTATAGCAAATAACACACATTGAGGTGATGGATTTCATTTTCAACCAAGTAATTTTTCATAACAGTTTTATTGTAGGATTGGATATGAGTTGTAAAGGGCTTTTCTTAAGGCTCTTAGTGTAATAAGATCATAGCTTTATACAATGAGGTTAGAAGGCAAGTATAGAATTTGCGTTACAGGAACACACATTTGTATGAATAATACCGTATATTAAATTTGTGTTTATAATTCAAATTCAAAATCATTTATTCATTTAGGTATCACAATTTACACGTGTGAACGTCAATAAAGAAATACATATGAAATGCTTCTAATTTTACATTTACTGCCAGTTCTCAAATCAAAAGCGTAGAACGGACGAGAAGAACTGGCAATATACTCTCCGCCACTCTTTTTAATCGCCAAGTTTTTTGTTTTACATTGTGTAAGGAACTGCAACTATTACACTATGTTCCACATGACACCTGAAGCAATTAATAACAAAAAACAATTAAAAACACTGATTTGTCCTCTAAGTAGCCATGGTGAAATAGGAGCACGCACTTACATTCTCGTGGGAACAACACGCAAATACATAGTCGAAATAACTAAATTAAAAAATCATTTAGTTATTTCGTCTATTATTTATTAAATAAAAAAAATGATTTGTAAATATCCACAAAACACTTTCTGTAACAATATAAATAAATATTTGTGATACAGCAAGACCTGTCCAGATCCCAGGTGGGATCTAGAGGCCCTTATAGGACCTAGAGAATATATTATCTTCTGGAACACATTTGTTGACACAGCAAATGTACTATGTTGTATAAATGAATGTTTTAAACTAATGTGACATTATTGTATGTTAAGGACGCTGAGATTTTCATTAAATGAGACAGAAAACCTCCAAAAACACGATTTAGAGATTGGCGTCTAGTTGCAACGTATGGATTGCATAATAAATCAACTTTCATTTACCTTTCACAATTTAAACATACATGAATTTATGACAACTATTTGTAAATATAACTCAGGTTTAGTACGACATAAGCAGAGTTAGACTAGTGGTATCAGAATGCTATTGAGAAGGAGTCGAAGGTTTGAACCTACCAATGGACTTTGAACTTCTTTACTGTACAAGCGAGTATTAAATGAGCTAGATGCTCAAAATAATAGCAGTGTTGGCCTAGAGGCTTCAGCGTGCGACTCTCATCCCTGAGGTCGTAGGTTCGATCCCCGGCTGTGCACCAATGGACTTTCTGTCTATGTGCGCATTTAACATTCTCTCGAACAGTTAAGGAAAACATCGTGAGGAAACCGACATGTCTTAGACACAAAAAGTCGACGGCATGTGTCAGGCACTGGAGTCTACTATATGCCTAATAGATTTAAAAATAATCATGAAACAGATTCAGAAATCTGAGGCCCAGACCGAAAGAGTTTGTAGTGCCACTTATTGTTTTGTGTATGCTCAAAAGACATACACCCTGAGAAAAGCAATCATAGACCTAAAAATAGACGGCGTCAGGAACTGAATGCTGATTACTTCTGAAAAAAAACTACGAAACAGATACAGATATATATGGCCCAGACCTAAAATTATTTTCTTAATTTAAATAATTGTTTATATTTCACATAAAAACTAACCTCCTTTCAAAGTTCCATAACCTACATTAGCTATTGAATATTTTGTTTATCATATCGCACTGCATATTTGTCTCATTATGGTATATAATACTCAGATCTGTTTTAGTGATTATTGTTGTTTATAAGATCAATCAACCTAGGCGCGTCACCACCAGCTCTATCTTTCGTTATAAAACATTAATTTTCTCTATATTCTGTATCAAGAAATAAATAAATACCCAGAACATCGAATCGTATATCTTTAGAAATTGATAAGGGTACGTCTATAGATATAAATAGAAAAACAATTGCCGTCTCCGAAGCTACGAAAGCGGAACAAGGAGAGTATTGTAAGTAGCTCAAAGCTATTTTAACCATATCGACTAGATTTAAGAATAACGATTTCCTTTTAAAATACGTTAAAGACCACTAAATGGAAAGTACCAAGAGAAAGAAGGAGAAGAGGGCGCCCCAAAAAAAGGATAGAAGAAATTGAAAGGGTTAGCAGGAATTGAGAAAGAAAAAGCCTTGAATGGTAGAGCGTTTTTCAAGGCAGTTTTTGCCGCGCACCACCACTATGTGGAACCAGCTGCCCACTAAAGTATTTCCGAACCAATTCGACTTAGAGTCCTTCAAGAAAAGAGCGTACCAATTCTTAAAACGTACAAATTCTTCTCTGACATTGAGAGTGTCCATGGGCGGCGGTATCACTTACCATCAGGTTCAATGAAGTAAGCTAGGATATTAGAATAATAAAAAAATGTATATAACAAATCTAAGCTGTATATTCTTCTTTTGATTGGAAATTAAACAGGCTTTTATTATTATACCAAAATTGCTAATAGCGCCACCTAGTTCCTTGGCTATATATGCCGATGGGTTTTGGCAACCATCTTTCTCACATATTCCCTGAAAGGTCCCCGCCCTTTAGTCTGGTTTATAGCTACTGGATAGATCTTTCCTTATCACCAATGTTTACTTTTACCTCATTACCAGGATAAAGTACCTAAGTGATGTTATTTTCTTGGATATTAAATACGAGGGAAAGTGCATCAATATATCGCTTACGCAATGGTTCATTAGTCTGCGGTTGATATGTCGCGATGTGTATACATTCATAGCTAACGTTACAATCAATACGTTTAAATGAATCTAGTGTCACTGGCCTGGCAGGCCTCTTGCAGTGCCAAAAAAATAAGTCTGATGTTGCAAATGCTTTCTATGTAACTGGCAAGTACATAGTTATCTCACTTCAGCTAATTTTACTACAGTCAAAACTGTTTACGACGACATCGCTTAGAACAACATACCGGTTATATTAACCAAACTCAAAGGCTGAATTCTATTGTATTAGGTTCTTAATAACAACGTCATCGGCTGTTACGATTATCGGTTTATATGACCAAATATGAGTAGTCCCTTCGATGTCGTTATAACAGATTTTGGTTGTATTTGTAAAGTATATTACTTTGTGTAAAATAAAATAAATCAGTGGCGCTACAACCTTTTAGGTCTGGGCCTCTGATTTCTGTATCTGTTCCTGTGCTTCACACACCACGTCGACTAAGGCAAGAGAGTTTCCTCACAAAGTTTTCCTTTACCGTTCGAGCGAATGTTAAAAGCGCAGATATAAAGAAGGTCCATTGGTGACCAGCCGGGGATCAAACCTACGACCTCAGGGATGAGAGTCGCACGCTGAAGCCACTAGGCCAACACTCCTATTTCTTTCGTGTACGTAGCATATATATATATATATATATATATATATATATTACAGAAAACTTATAGGACTTTTTAGAAATCGTCGCTGTAGAATGATAACCTCGTACGTCCAGAAAACCAAACATAACAAGAAACGAAAAATGTTTCATTTCGTCAATGTTCGTTGAAATATTATTGTGTTTTTGTCCATATTTTTGGACGGTTAAAAGGACTTATTTATTAATAACATAAATTAGTCCTTACTTCATAATTATACCAGTTAAATGACATAAGTGTAAGAATAAAAAATGTTTTTTTTTTGTCTGTATCGTGCCTCAATCAGGCCTAAATAATTCTTATGATCTCTAAAGTATATATAGGACTGCAAAATACTTACGCAGGCTGCGGAGTTTCCATATCCGACTCATCAGATGCGCCATCCAGGTCATCGAAATTGTCAATCACGCGACCGGATACTTCAAGCCTACGAAGGGACCGGCCGCTGGAGGCCACGTGCCTAGCGATTTGCCGGATGAGGCGACGCGGAAGTGGGAGTGACGCGCGCGCACCTCGTGCTGGGGACCCGCCACGCTCACTACGCATCGGCGCCATCTTTGGACAAAAAATATAAATATGTAAGACGAAAACTTTCTATATGAAAACTAGCTGCCCCCGCGAACTTTGTTTCTCCTTAATGTTATTTTCTTAGCCTACCTTTTTAGTACATACCAACATGGAAAATTTTGCTATGCTACCCCAGACTGTTCGGTTTTCCGGAATGAAAACTTTTTAGATTTTTCTGTGATTTTTCTCTATATAAATCTCAGAGTTTTTAACTAACAAATAAAAAATCACTTAGTGGTTTGAAAGATAGATAGTAGCCGATTCTCAGACTTACTGAATATGCATACAAAAATTCATAAGAATCGGTCAAGCCGTTTCGGAGGAGTATGGGAACAAACATTGTGACACGAGAATTTTATACATTCGATATCACGTACTCCTTTTATTAATTAGACAACGACATATTTTTGCGTTTCACGGAATATAAATGAAAAGTTAAACGCTTAACGTGGTGCATTTAATAAAAAAAAAAGTTAATATAATTAATTTATATGCTTTCATTTTCATTAATAAATAATCTACAATAATAGTTCAAAACAAAATGAACATATATTGTCTTTGTGTGGAGAAATATTTAGTAATTGCGTTTTGATTCAATTTATTAATAACTTTATAACTCTTAACATAACTGCGCATTTTCCCATAATTAGTTAAAGGTCTCCGAGTCAGGTACAATGCTGTGTACGCCACGACTTGTTTACAACCACAAATATGCAAACATAAAATCACTACGTACTTAACAGTGATTTTATGAGAATAAGAATTTTAAATGTTCTAGAAATACAAATACAACAATCCAATCTACGTACGTTTAGCAGTTAAAAAAAACTTTGTTATGTTATGGCTCAGTAAGTGTACCCAACGAAAGACCAAAAAATTATTTACAAAAGCAAGCAAGTTTTTACCAATTCCTCAAAGGCCGGCAACGCACTTGCGAGCCTTCTGGCAATGTGAGTGTCCATGGGCAGCTGTATCACTTAACATCAGATGAGCCTCCTGCCCGTTTGCCTCCTATTACATAAAAAAGTAAGAAGAATAGACAAGAAAAAGGAAAAGAAAGTCATAAATGATTCCGTCTCACTGTAATCTAAGTCCAATAAAAATAATTCATTAGATTGCCACAGGAAAAATTACAAGATAGGTACTCAAGCGAATCTTAAATTACCGCACTCCTCAATCAGACATTTGAATATTGTTTTGTTAAGCGATTTCGTAATAATAATTTCGCACTAATTTATTAATTAAAATAAATTTGTTTATTATGGAATATAAGATACAGGTATCACTTATTCCACGTTAAATTTGAATAGGTAGACATCCCTGCTCATCGGCAAAGAAGAAGGTGTAGGCTGAGAGAAAAAGCCGGCATAAAAAACTCTCGGTAGGTACTCTTTGGAAATACCAAATTTTTTATGCATATTCAGTAAGTCTGAGAATCGGACATCTATTTTTCAGCTCCCTGAATGGTGGTCCCACCCCTAAATTTTTAGACAAAACTTTTTTTATGATACAGCAAACAAAAATACATACAACCCCTAATTTTCACCTCTCTACGATCAACCCCTGAATCTCTATTTTTTATTATTGTAGATAGTTATTTTTATTGAACTAATTTTTTTTCCTATAAATAATATACATGGCGAAACAAACGTTTGCCGGGTCAGCTACTAATATATAAATATCATACATATATAATTTTCAAATGTCAAATTACCATATTAAAACAAATGCATAATTAATCGCATTTAGTTTCTAGGTTATATCAATAATTTACTACGGAGATTGCATAACATTTCGATTCTTGAGAACAAAGGACGTCGAACAATAAGCGAATCGTCTTCCATTTAATAGTAAACATTGTTGATTGTATTCATAAACAGCCGTTTAAAAAACAGTGGTCCTACAAGCTCTGGGTCTTGGAAAATTTCTAGGCGATGTCTGTCCTGACGATGTTTTTATTTCACAGTACGAGCAGGTATTAAATGCGTATTTAGCACTCGCTAACCAACTCACTCACTCACTTGCACCCATACACTCAGGCGTGTTAAAAACAGCTAAAAAAACAAAAATAAATAAAATAAAAGATGTATTAAATTATATATATTTTAAGGGATTTATAATTAAGTTTGTTATGGAAGAGCTGTGTACCCTGATACAGGTACTTTTTTACTTAAAAGGGATCCCAAATCTTACACAATCCAATGCAAATGTTGTACTTAATGAATAAACGCATTTTATTTTAACAAAGAAAGAAACTGTTCGAATGAACAATTTTTTGGGTTGAGAAGCCCTCGCTCTAGGACCGCCAAAACTGTTCAATACAGTACTATTAAAGTATTTTGGATCGCCAGAATAGATGAAAATTATAAGTAAATTATACACTGCTCACGATCTCGTGACATCAACAGTTCTTCTTTTTAACAGCACGTGTTGTTTCTCAGATTCTCTAAAGACCGAAGCTTAGTTCTGGTTTCGCTAACGCCAAACAGAAGTGGGGATTTCCAGTGTTATCATGGGATTTAATAAGAGGTAAAAGTTTACAAACTTAGCAAGAGCTCAGGCATTCTTTGCATCTATATAGGTGCGACGGCGAAGATAAAGGTTGTTTGCGATACCAAGGGCCAGAACCAGTCTGTTGCACAGATCACGATACGTTGCGCCTACTGAATGCTGTCTCCGACTCTGTCTCTGAGTGAGATTACAGTAGCGATATTATTATGTATTTAATACTACATATTTTATTTTTAATTTCAACATTATCGTATTAGTACTGTCGGGATAGCGAATAAATAAATTCTTACGTTTCTTCGTATCACTCAATTAACTCTTTATGTTATATGCTATTTATACTTTAGATTAGGAAAAAAACAGCACTGCAGCACAGATTCGCTCATAGCCTTAGGGCTGATTGCAAATACGCACAGAATAAAAAGAAAAAAGATTAGGGGAAAGATAGAGTCTTCAAGGATGTCAAAAACTTATTGGATTTTGACATAACAACCCTAAAAGATTCGGCTTATGACACTAGTCACATTATACTATGAATGAAGTTTCTAAACGAATTGTCGATGACCAAGCTTCGGTGTGAACGGCCTTAATTTATTTTCATAGAAAACAAAAAAACGTTGACCTAACCACGTGTATTTTTTTTCGTGTAGCTAAAATTACATTAGCCATATTCAGGTCAACTATTAATCGCATAAAGGTTATACCAATGGCCCTGAAGAATTTTCAATTGCTTCGAAAAACGGGTTTCATTTTTGATTTATGCATTTCTGTTGCATTTTGACGGGTGACTGATAATACTGATAATTAAATTTTACTGACTTTAACAAAATCTGTTTTATCTGTTTGACAGTTTCATAAGATATTGAAGGAATTGGATTCTACTGGAGTTGGTTAATTCAGATGTGTATGTCTTGTCTTTAATGTGTTACCAAAGGACCCTAAGCCCCTTTTGGACATAGAACACGCAGAGGTCCCAAAAACTTGAACAATCTTGTTGTGACTGGTAGAGTGGAAGGCACGAAGCCTAGAGGCCGATCCCCACTCGTTGGACCGGGTCTTTACAGTCTTTAATATTACACAGGCGCTTAAGCTTGCCGAAAATGGGGGGAATGGAGAAAGATGTATACCAACACGACCTCCAGTAATAAAGAACGCGACTAAAAGAAGATGTAAGTTTGTCCACTCGTTTAATGGAATATGACTTCAAATCGAGACGAACTTTCCTCCAATATACTATTATCTTGTAGGAAGGATCGTCTAGGAGGAAGGAGTAATTCTTGAGATATCCACACATTTCTGTATAATTAAGACATGTATCTTAAATCGGCCAAATTTTTAACTGCTGACAGCAATCGGCACCACAAATACGACTTAGGGTCTTTCAAGAAAAGAGCGTACCAATTCCTAAAAGCCCTCTCGAGTCTCGACCCTTCTGGCCCGTTTGTTTTATAAAAAAAAAGTGCGTGCGTACAAAGTACACCTGTCATAAGTGAAATTTGTTTGGAAATTCAAAACTTTAGATTTCCGAGACTTAGAGAGGGGGAAAAAGGAAGATATAAGGATTTCTATAAAGTAATTCGCCCTTCTCACTCTCTCTCAATCGGTCTCTCCCTTTTCTTCCACAAAAACGCTACACATCTTCGTGACGCTAATATTATTATTATTGCGTTTCATCCGTAAAAAATATCCCTCATGCGGCTGAATAAGTTTCACTTCAAAAATACAGTACCTTGCATATTTTTAATATACAGATTTTAACAATAGTAAAGAATCTACGGTAATATTAAACTCGCGATCTGGAAACACTGATTACGACACACTGACCCACTGATTGACATAGTCGAGTTGGCACTTGGCACCGGGTGATAAGAATTTCTAAGATATAAAAAGATACCATTATGCAATGATAACAATTTAGTTTATAATGTTTCAAGTTTAACATTCTAGGATAACGTTAAATTATCTTATCATGTTTTTTTAAGTAAACCTTTATTGTTGCATTATTTTAATGACGCTGGTCTCACTAGAACGTTCCTGTGTGAGTGACCACTCTTCCGGTACAATAAAAACTACTTTAAAAATAAATTATTAGTTTCCTCTATGTATTTTCATGCTTTGGACCAACCAAAGCAACATATTTTTGTACTGTTTATATTTCTGGTGGTTCTTTGGGTACACCTACCTTTCTACCGTAACACAGGGTTTGTTTAATCGGTGCCGAGGACCGTCCCTTTATTAATATTTGTAACTTCACTAAGCAAAAAAATCTAACTAAACAAAATAACTATCTGAGTAACATATTTTTATTTGAATCTAATGATTGATATATTAAGGATTGAAATTATATAAACCATTTTCTATGTTCGATTTCCAATAAAACTACTGTATGTGCGTTGTATTATCCGAACCTATTTTTGCTTTATCTATGTTAAAAAACATAGATAAAAGTCGATGAATAAATGAATAAATACAGTACAAATCTCGCTATTTCTGTTGCTAGGTCTTCATTGATACATCGATTCGTAGTTCACGTTTAAAGGTCATCCAGTGACGTCATTACTCACTCCTACAAAGCTGTACATGGACGGGATATTTAAGGTTTCTATTCGTATATGAATTTATAACGAGGAGGGTCTGGAATTCGATTAGGAAGACACATTCATCTCTCTCTATAAATAAGCAGCAGCCAAGTCTTCTATACATTTCAATCACATCACCAGATAATTGAACCCCAAATCCCGGTTAAACATCCTGTTCTTTCTTCTCGTCATATTCTTCATTGCTGAAGGTCATGTCACTGTAAGGTGCCTGCTACCCTGATAGTGATATCTTTCCACTTTGTTCTGTTTGTAGCTTCCGTTAGCGCAGCTGTAATGGGGAGACCCGTGAGAATCGTGACTTGGTCACACCAGCGGGTTGGCCCACGGCCTTCCACCGACGACAACCAGCTTGTCCAGGTTCGCGACGGGCGATATGACCAAAGTAATAACTTGTCCATAGCATGTTGTTGAGAGCCTCGTACGAAATCCGAGTTGATCCAAGATTGATTGGACCACATCTCCAGTAAATCAATTGTGCGTTACGAAGAGGCATCAAAAAAGTGAAGAAAAGTAAATTAGTTATTTAGTAGAAACTTTATAAAAATGGCATAATTATTTAATACGCATATATTTAAATAGCATAGTTCGACTATTTAAGACAAGAATCCAACGCTACAAATGTTCGAGACCTTATCGGGTTTTTGTTAATGTTTACACGTGAATTTGTTTTAAATAAAATTGAGAGAGGTTAGTAACAGCTATAGTTAACGTCATCGCATTTCTCGTATATTAACAATCTTTTGACGTAAGTTTATGGCCCACATATTCAAATCATTTAAAGTTTCATTTAACAGTACTTAAGACTAGAATTCCATTATTTAGTGCAACAGTGTTTCCGTTTTTAGCGACTTAAATTTCGGATAAGTTTTATTAAAAATAAAATAAATCAGTGGCGCTACAACCTTTTTATGTCTCAGATTCCTGAATCTGTTTCATGATCATTTTTAAATCTAATAGGCAAGTTGGTGATCAGCCTCTAGTGCCTGACACACGCCGTCGACTTTTTGGGTCTAAGACATGTCGGTTTCCTCACGATATTTTCCTTCACCGTTCGAGCAAATGGTTAATGCGCACACAGAAAGAAAGTCCATTAGTGCACAGCCGGGGATCGAACCTATGACCTCAGGTATGAGAGTAGCACGCTGAAGCCACTAGGCCAACACTGCTCTTTACTAACACTATTTTTATTAAATATTTTTTAAATTAAACGTCGGTTATGTTTAAGCACGGCTATTACCATCTATTTTTATTTACACGTTCCCCTACAGTATTTCTATGGGTATAACCTTGACACTGACAAAATCCGCGACAGGTACCGCCCAACCACCATAAACAACGTGCTTCTTTGGAACATTACATAACAGGACTAAACCATAAACGGATATCCCAACTTTTAATATACATACGGATTTCCGGCCTGAATAATTTGTCTAATAATGCATCTCTTTTTATAGAACAGGGGACCAACGGGCAGAAGGTTCAATGATACCGTTGCTCATGGACACACACTGCCAAAAAGATAAAGAAAAGGCTGAGTTACCGGCCTTAAACCGGCACTATATCCATCGAAACCAGCAACCCACTTGCCTCGGTATCCCAGTGAGGTTTCAGCCCCCTTATTCTATAAAATAAGTAAAGTAAAACGTGTTGAGCACATTGAGAGAAACAATCAGAGCTACGAAATTTGTTTTTTGTTAATTTGGGGAAGTAATTGAAACTCGCTAACAGGAAAAGGCAACCGCACATTTGTGGCATCGTCAAACATTCCAAAAGCCGTGATAAACGAAATGAGTAGATAAACATTTGTATACTGTACAAGACGCGTGACGAGGTGACGTCAACTACTTGTATACTACAGTAAAGTACTTTAGTACATATAAAAACGAGGAAATCACTATCGTAGAAAAAGAACGTCTCTGAAAATATCGGATATAGAAGTTTTTACAATTAAACCCCTACGAAAAATACGATTTTCATGTGCAATCAGATCCTCAAATTGCGTTCTTTCTTAGTAAATAAAATCTAATACAGATAATTGTACTCAAGGGCCTAATTTATTCAGTAGTACTCGGCCTTACTAAATTGTACTTTGTTTAGCGTAGATACGCTTCTGTTGCGTCATCACAGCCTTCATTATATGTTCATTTATTCTAGTATTCTTTAATTATATACAAAAATATATGTAGTATGTAATTTCAAATTTGTATGGCATCAAAGTTGTTTTGTCGGACAAACATGGTCAAAAGCATTGATTAATACTATATTATATACTTATGTATACATGTTACTGTGGTGAAAGCAATATTGAATTGCAATATAGTATGCTAAAAATAGTTTAAGAATATTAAAAGTATCCACCACCACTGCATAACGGCAATTTTTAGTTATTTTAAGCTAGTACCTCTAGGTTTAAATATTATAAAGACATAATCATAAAAAGCATATATATAATACACAAACAGTTTTAGATATTTACTAATGAATAGGATATACTAAGAGGTTTTGAGAAAACATATTAATTTTCATTTCATTTAACAAGTGTATATTCAAAATAAACAGTGTGTAAAATGCTGCTCCTACAGTTTAATCATATATGATACAACTCTAATCAAAAACAATAATAGTCATGATGATGTAATAGTTTTGTTATCAACACGGTGATTTACCTTGCATTTTTGTCTTAACTTGAAGTTTAACAAAATAAAACTAAGCAATACCCATTTAAAATAAAACTATACACATTACATTAATCATACAATGTGAAAATAATAAAATACAGGAAAGTTCTTAGTAATTGAAAGATTTATATTGTATATCTATTGCAGATGAAATATCAAAATAGTTTATAATAGATTTTTCAAGCTAAATGTAGGTCAACTGCGGTGTAAGATAACAAGGAGAAAATTTGCAAAATTAGTAGATTACGCAGCTTGTGTTATGAAATAACATGATCAAGGTTGCATGCAAGAAAAGCTTTACTTACAATAAATATGTCCACTTGCTATGTTAATTACAGTTGAATGTTATGGCTAATCAAAATACCTAGCAACGTGTAACGCGAATAGCGACGCGTGGACGTGATGTAACGATTACCATGTGTTTTTGCGCTCATTGGGTCAGTGCAGGCGCCAGGGCGATGGCGTCAACGATAGGTTGCTAGGAAACTTAGGGTTTTGCGACCGCGTGCCTCGTCTCTACGTGTCGCGTGGTGCATATGGTATGTGCACGTGCCAAGCAACGTTAAGGGTCATTACATAACTGCCAAGGATAAAACTTTACTAACATCAACACATCGCAAATCTCAGTTAAACGATTTACGAATGCTTCGTTCCATTTTTAGCAAGAGCGAAGCCGACATCGCTGCGTTACTCGTGTCTTGTCACATTTTTAGAACCGCATGTAAACGATACTGCACCCCACGCTGACACGCGCAACGTGATCCTTTATTACTGTTATTTACGAAAAATAGAAATGCCTAATTTTTTAAAGCTAATGCGTCTTATCTATCCATGTATTGACGAATTGCACAACTACAAATACCACTTTTATACAAAACAAACTATATATAAAGATTTTTTACTTGATAGCTACTTGACGTTGACTTACCTTTGTATATGTTGTTTGTTTATCGCACTAATTAAAATTGTATAACAATAAACAGCATTACGCTGCCTTCGCTCTTAAAAATCAACACTCAATAAGACAAACACTTTGCACAAATCAACACCCAATCATTGATCCATAGGCTATAGAGTAACCTACATAAATAAACATATGATTTTTTTTGGCAATATTGTTTATGGTCCGCTGAAATGTCAATTTGACATAATTGTTCTTTTTCTAGAACAATATAATATACTTGTGTAGAAAGTGTAGATATATAATATAATTATTAAAAATTTAATATTATTTCTATTAGCAAATTTTAACTTGTCAAAGTTGCCATAGTATAAATATGACAAATTGCATATATATTTTCCACTGGCAATCAATTACACTAGCCAAAAAGAAGAAAACACGTTAAAATTGACGTGGACTAAAGTAGCTGGCTTGCATAGAAATAATAATGTACTACATTTTCTTTTAAGAAGCTTATTGATCAAGAAAAATAAAGTTAAATTAAGTTAACTTATGGTTTTTACTGAATGAAGATGGCCATAACTTTCGTAAGTTAATAGAAATTCATTAAACATGAGCGGTCATTGACAGCGTAATAGAAAATTCGGAGATGTTTCCAGTAAATTTACGTTCTTTCTCGTTTTTTTTTCAGAAAATGTATGGTGTGGTGTTTTCGATACTGTTATCTTTATTATTAAGTCAACAAACTGATGCTGCTGCAGTGATATCCATTGATTATGGTTCAGAATGGATAAAAACGGGAATTGTTTCGCCGGGAGTTCCTATGGAAATAGTCCTAAATAAGGAATCCAAACGAAAAACACCAGCTGTTGTTGCATTTAGGGATGAAGTTAGGACATTCGGCGAAGATGCTGTGACAGTTGGCGTTAAATTTCCTAAAAATGCGTATAAATATCTTCTAGATCTTTTGGGCAAGCCATATGATCACCCATTAGTACAAGCCTACAGGTAAGAATGTGCCGTTACTTTGACGTATTCAAAACTATTCGAAATCTATTTTTCAATCAGAATCTGGTGTAATTGTTTATAACTTTTCTAATTATGTTACATTCTATCATTCTCATGTTTTAGAGAAAGATTCCCATATTACGAGATTGTAAAATCAGAAAGAGGAACGCCAGAATTTGTTCATGATGAAAAGACAAGGTTTACCCCAGAAGAGTTGGTAGCACAACTACTTGCTAATTCCAAAGAATTCGCTGAAATAAGCCATGGTAAGTAGTACAATATATTCTTTTTTAAAATTGAACTTTAAAAAATTTTTTACTGGAATGTTACAATATAATTTGATGCTTATATGCTTATAAAATACTTACTAAAACTGTATTACTATAGGTCAACCAATCACTGAGTGTGTCCTTACCATCCCCGGCTACTTCAACCAAGCTGAACGTAGGGCTATGAAGGAAGCTGCTTCTTTGGCAGGCTTAAATGTACTTCAACTAATTAATGATTATACAGCAATTGCTATCAATTATGGTATTTTCCGGAGGAAGGTAAGAAATGCTTTAGATTCTTGAAGTCAAACTGAATACTGATTTTAGTTTAAGATTAATTTTCTTTTTTTTCAGCCAGTACATGGCTTGAAATATTTGAGAACAATAAATTTATAAATAAGTTTTTTTTTTCATGTATAATTTTGCATGACTCTTTTTGTCTGTTACTAGTATCTCAATAAAATGTAACTATTTGACTGCAGAAATGAAATTTTATATAGAACATTACCAAAGTAGTTAAGACCATAGTGCAAAAAATTGTGGTTACATTAAATTATCTAAATTTATAAAAAATAAAATAGGTGTATAATATAAATATATACAAAATGAGTAATTTTTTTTAGGAAATCAATGAAACGGCATGGCACACACTTTTCTTTGACATGGGATCGGCATCCACAAAGGCGGCGTTAGTTGAATACAAAACAGTGAAGACAAAAGAAAAGGGATATGTTGAGACAGTACCACAACTGCAAGTGATTGGTGTTGGATTTGATAGGTATTTAATAAATACAAATTTCTAAAATTTAAAAATGAATAGGTAATTGCTGTGCTCTTTGTCATGTCAACTACATGACATGTTATATGCTGTCTCCAAAAAACTTACCATTTCTATTAAGGTTTTAAATAATTTGTGTTGATTTTCAGAACCTTGGGTGGATTAGAAATGACTTTACGTTTAAGAGAGCATTTGATTAAGGCATGGGAAGCAAACGGAGGTGGTGATGTAAGGGCTTCACCCAGGGCTATGGAGAAATTGTTCCGAGAGGCTGAGAGAGTCAAGATCGTATTATCAGCCAATACTGAACATTATGCGCAGATTGAGAGCTTACTTGATGATAAAGACTTCAAGTTACAAGTAAGTTTCTTAACTGTGTTTATTTAACTTATAAAAGCCGACACGATAAAGTTCACATATTTTTTTTTCTTGTGTATTGTTTTGTAATTGTAATGATCATAGAGTTTGAGTTTTGGTGCAAAAATATAGCCTTACAGGATCTTCACACCTCATTTATGTAAATAAATAAATTAACACTTTATACATTTAATTATGTTAGAAGGCCAATCAAAAATATATGAATTGAAAATATTGTTATTAAATACTTTTTAATGCATTTTGGAGTTGGTTATTTTTTTTAAATATAGAAATTTTTAACGAAATTTATTGCTGATCATAATTTTAAAATTGGTTAAATTAAGTTATATGATATTCCAGTTTTTTTGTTTGTTGTTTAATTTTAATAAATTTTATGTCTTTTATATGTATGCATTTCCCATTATAAAGGTGACCCGTGCTGATCTAGAAGGCCTATGCTCTGACCTTTGGGCACGAGTGTCGAACGTGATCCACCGAGCCATTTCATCAGCCGGTGGAGCGGGTGCTGGAGCCAAAGTGATAGTGGCCGGTGGTGCTTCAAGAGTACCCGCAGTACTTGAGGCTTTGAAAACCGCAGCTGGCGTTGATCCCCATAAATCCATCAATGCTGATGAAGCAGCTACCCTCGGGGCTGTTTATAGGTGAGAATAATTTCATGGAAAATACAAAATTTCCATTATTGCATACAATACATATATTTCTGTGTGCCACTCATACAATTGAAAATAAGTGCCATGTTTATTTAATTTATCACAACTTACATTACACATTGTTTTTTTAATAAACAATAAACCTTTGGAAATTCTTACTGTTTAAAACTTATATTATTTCTCTATATATTTAGAGCTGCTTCTCTCGCGACGGGATACAAAGTGGCAGCCCTCAATGTCAGGGACGCGGTTCTATTGCCCATACAGGTCGTATTCAGCAGACAGGTTGACGGAAATGAGAAGTTGGTGAGTTATTGCTTTTTGGTTAAAGTCAATTTACTTAGTAACAGTTACAAATATAAAATTTCAAATAAAGTTACTCAAACTTTGTAACGTCTAATTTTACCTTCACTATTTAATAAAATATTCACAAGTTATTTCTCTATTTCAGGAAATGGTAAGATTTTTATACTTGGTGCTATTTTTTTGTGTGTTTGTAAAACTGTGTTTTGTAAAAATTCTTAAATTTTCTTACAAAGTGGGTGATTGATGGTGGCATAGGTACTCTTCTACAATCATTTCATTGTTGTTTTTTTACACTTCAATAACTTCTCTCTATCTTTTCCTTTCTTATTTCTGTTTATTTTTTTGCAATGCAATCAATTGTTCTTTATTGCTTATAATAATTGTTCTTGGGAGTTTATTATAACATTACATTTTATCAAAGTTAATTTATTAAGATACAAAATCTTAAATATCTGTATAACTTTTACAGATAAGAAGAACTCTCTTCGGCCCGATGAATCCTTACCCCCAAAAGAAAGTAATTACCTTTAACAAACACACAGACGATTTCAGTTTTAACGTCAACTATGCTGAATTAGATCACATCCCATCCAATGAACTGGAAAATATTGGTACATTAAACCTAACTCAAGTTGTTCTCACTGGGGTCAATGACGCCCTTAACAAAAATGCGGGAGACAACGTTGAAAACAAAGGCATCAAAGCACATTTCAATATGGATGATTCTGGAATTCTTAACCTAGTTAACGTAGAATTCGTCGCAGAGAAAACTGTCACCGACGACGAAGATACCGATAGTACGTTATCTAAAATCGGAAGTACTATTAGCAAACTATTCGGCTCAGACTCAGAATTGCCAGACAAAGCGGAAGAAAAATCTGAAGAACAACCCCAAGAAGCCGAGAAGAATGATACAGCCAAAGCTAATGAGACCACAACTGAAAAACAAAACGCAACGGAACCAGAAAGCAAACCGAAACCCAAAATTGTTGTTCTAAAAGAACCCGTCAATGCTAACGAGCAGATACTAAACTTACAACCGTTATCTCCAGACCAATTTAAAACATCAAAAACCAAGATAAACAAACTCAACGAAATCGACAGAAAGCGAATCGAAAGAGAAACAGCACTTAACAACTTGGAGGCATTCGTTGTTGACGTACAAATGAAAGTAGACATGGAGGAGTATGCAGAATGTGGAACTCCAGAAGAGATTGAGGTAATCAAGAAACTCTGTAGTGAAGTTTCCGATTGGCTCTATGATGATGGGTATGAGGCTGAGACTGCTATGTTCGAAGAGAAATTAAACGCAGTCAAAGAAAAGACAAACCAGATGTTCTACAAACATTGGGAACACAGGGAGAGACCCGACGCGATTGCCGCAATCAAAAGTGTTCTAAATAATTCTCGGGAATTCCTTAAATCGGCCAAGAATTACACTAAAGAAGCTAGCCCTGAAAGAGATGTGTTTACTGATGTAGAGATATCGCTTTTGGAAAAGAAAATTGAAGAAACTAAAAGTTGGGTGGACAAATCCGTCGCAGAACAAAACGCGCTCAAAAAGAACGAAGATGTGAAACTGACAGTCGAAAGTATAAGGGAAAAAATAACGAACTTGGATCGTGAAGTTAAGTATCTGCTCAACAAACTGAAGATTTGGCGCCCCAAGAAACCAAAGAAGGTGGAGAATAAAACGGAAACCCCAACTGAATCGGAAAAAACGGAGGGCCAAGAAAAACCGGTCGAGGAACCTGAAAAGTCGAAAGAGCCGGAAAAAGTAGAAGTCGAGGAAGAAGCTACGGAAATACCGCAGTTAGATAATGAACATTCCGAGTTATAATGACGCTAACTTAATTTATTTAGTTAATTTAATTTATTAGGGCGTTCGTTTTTATACCGTGTAAAGCACAATTATGTTTTAGATTTGTTGGTGTTGATTGTTGAATATATTTTGGTTCATCTAATCTTCCTGAATTTGGATGTGAAAAACGAATGTGCTATTTAATCTCAATGCCGCATTTTTCAAGTTAATTTTTATAAAAATTTCATTAAAACACAATTTCCTTTGTTGAATTTATTTACATACAATTTTTTACAGCGGCGTCGTAAGCTAAGGAAAAATGGCCCCAATGAATTCGCTATGTAATTGTAATTTATGTGAAAATGTGATATGTACTGTCTATTTATGAGTGTGGACCCTTAATGTTCTCCCAATACGTGCTTATAATAGCGATTTTGTTTGGAGTTTTTGGTTAGAAATGTCGCTATAAGGATACGGAGTGGAGTACCATAGTTATCCATGAAACTGTCAGTATAATGTAAGTGAGATTTATTCTGTACCCAGTCGCAAATGATAATAAATTATTGGAAATTTATTATAGTTTTATTTTGCTTTATATATTAGAATGATGTATGTGATGATTGTATTTATTTTATCACATGAAATAAAAGAAAAAAACAGCAAGTAGGTACCATCTTTATACATATAATAGTACTGTACCGTGTACGTGTGTATGTCATTGATCTCCTCTTAAACGGGTGGTCCGAAATGTATGATTTTTTTGTATGCGTTTGGGTGGCGCCCTGGATGGTTTAGATACACAATCAGCCCGGTAGATGGCGCTGCAGTCGGTAAGTAGGTTATTTATCTATACAGCAAATTAACAGCTGGTATCTATAAATCTTCTCTGCATGTGTTCGTAATTAAACTCCTAAACGGCTGGACAGATTTTGATGAAGTTTTTTAGTGTTCAAGTGTCGAGAATGATAGATATTTTGTATGTAAGACGTGTACAGGACAACGTCTGTCGGAACTTGTATATTATAAGAAATATAAGACCAACAGTCACACATAATTTACAATTTTAATGATTATCTCTATCAAACATTTCCATTATAATATTATTCTAATCTATTATATTATGTAGGTAATCATACTATCAATAAAGACCATTGTCCATCGTATGGAATACTGTTCCAATATTTTATTATGTAGGTACACACCTTAATATGCTCATGCATGCGTGTTTCAGGAGATGAAGGAATTATCTAGATTTTTAAATATTGTTTTATATTCAACAAATTTAGGTACAATTAAAATAAAACGTTCCGTTAAACGTAATTGAAACTAAGAAAACGGAAGCACTCTGTGTGCTATCTATGGATTTTCTATAGACAATAATTGTTTCGTTGTGGAAAAGCGTCTCAATATAAAATATACATAGAGAATAATAATAACTTACTTTTATTAAAACATGAAATTTTCTTAAATCAGCTAACCAATTAGTACACAACCTCAAAGTAGCTATGTAAAGATGGCTCCCGAAGCCGTAATAATTAAACAATAGTAGCTGATAATACACTGCGCTTCTGATTACATTTCAAAGTAAAATGTTTCGTTTATTTAAAGATAACGTCACTCGTAGCAGCCAGATTCGTCTTAAGGGTGCGTCCATAAGAAAAATATCACGCGACACATATCTTTGGCTACAAATCAGTGCGATGACACCATACAATATAAAACGCTAAAAAAATATTCCGAGCATAAATAAAAAATCACACGAAATCTAGTTTTTAATCCACCCAAAAATATTTATTTATCTATGTCTTAACAATTACGTATTCTTATTTTTATTAACTTACGATATACTTTTACACAAGACTTCTTTACTTACACTGTTAATTATTACTATTATTACTTTTTCTACTATTATTATTATTACATTATTATTTTATTCACGACTGACGCGCAAACTATTTGTTGTGGTCACTGGCAGAATGACCAGCACTGAGGAACAAGTCTGCTCCTCAACATAATGCTGAGCTAGGCCCAGTTACAACCACAACACCCACACTTAAAATGCCCCATATTCCTTTTTTTTCATTCCATATATTTTGTTATTTTTCTTTTTTTAATCATTATGTGGTGTGTTTCGTTAGTCATAAATGTTATGTCTATGTCTAATAATGTCAGGTTTGACCCCTGACAGTATCAACTTAATAATCTCTATAAACAAGACCTAATATTTATTCACATTTAGTAGACGACCTTTGTAAAATAATGTAAACACACTTAAAATATTTGTTGACTAACTCATCTTTCTCCTAAGTTTACCTAAGAATAGGTTTATCATTTTACAACAAACATTTAAAATAAGCTTAAATATTTTGATAGTCAAATTTGGGCTTGTTGCCATCGGGCTATGTATACATTTAAACATTTTGTTAGGTGTAAAGCGTTAAGAACGACACCCGTAAATAAATGAGGTATGTCTGGGCTTGGCTTATACACATTTTTGCTTTTGTATCATTAATAATTATTTTCTAAACACCTCCACTATTTGAATGACTAACTGACACTTACTCCCAATAATTATTGCGCCAATTAGTCCCCAGGATTAGTCAGAAGAAAATTTTAAATAGATCTTAAATTACAGATAACGTAAGAAATATTATTTTACTATTTAAAACTCTGTTATCCTACAACCTACAGTATCATGTACCAACGTGTCTGGATCGTTCTAGCTTCTTCATTTTCAAAATACGTGAGTTGTAGAAAACAGAAGGATCGCAAACGCGCTGCCGGTCTTTTAAGAATTGGTACGCTTTTTTCTTGACCCTAAGTCGAATTGGTTCGGAAATACTTCAGTGGGCAGCTACCACACAGTTGTGGACCGACGGACTTCAAGGTGATACGGATGGTATTTTGTATTCTGCCTTGACGTCCGATGATGAAACTCAGCTGCAGGTATTAGTCCGAACAACTCCTCTGAACACTCTCCATGGTAAATACGGTAGAAGATGCAGAGAGATCCCACATCAATCATGTAGTACACGCTGTGCTTTTACCCGTCTAATGATTGCTGTACTACAACTAACAAAGATCTTGTATTTAGACTTTGTGCAGAAGTGCGTTATAAATTTACAATAGTGTCTATGATGAATATTATTGTTTATGATAAAAAAAATATTGCCATACTTAATTAATAGTAATAAAGTATGTCAATGAACTTGATGATTGTAGTACGAAGTGTAGTGGGAAATGAAATAGTTTATTTCATAGAGAACTTGTCTGCCAGAGATCCTAGTGATAGTCTTTAAATAATTAATTAATGGTAAATGATTGAGCCAATGTATGGAATCGCAGTATGTCCTTCCGTTCCCAACGTTCCCAGGATTGTACAGTTGCCCACAAAAGTGTTTTATTTAAATAAATCATAAATATTAAGAAAACTTTTTTTTGGCGCAAACGACTGGCCCGAAACTAGTAAAGAATAGTTCAGTTATGAAATAGATATTGTATGTAGTGAATAATGGTTGTCACATATAAATATGTTGTAAATAAATCAATAGTTATTTACAAATTTGAATAGTTTTTTTTTTATAGAACAGGGGGCAAACGGTTAGTTATATCTTTTTTGGTGGATTCTTCTCTGCTCCGAATAGCAGAATAAGTAATCGGAATAATATCGGTAAAGTTATCTAATAACAATAAATAAATTAATTAATTTTACGAATGCAAACAGCACGTGGTGCCATCTGTTGACAAAACTACGCATCATTTTACATTAAAATTGTGTCAGTTCAAGAAATTCCGATCTTGAGGTAAACAAGGTGATGCATAATCAGGCTTTGATCTTGATCGAAGACATGTGTTACCTCATCAAAAAATGTTGTAGGTATATCAGCAAGTACTTTAACATTCAGTATCGAAATATTGGCGCTAGATAGAAGAAGCCTAATATGTAAAACTGCCACTTCTTTCGCAATTATTGCCAGCAATAAAACATTTCTGTATTTGCAAAAAGAGTTGTATCAACCTTAACGAAGTCCTAAATTAAGTTTAACTAAAGTTAACACGATAGTCGATATTATTATTAGACGGAACGAAGTGAGCCGGGTCAGCTAGTATCATAATAAAAGCGTAATTCATTACCTTAATTTTCAACTTGACTGTACTCGTCAATCGTCGATCACAGTTGTAAAAACGCAGAGGAAACGTATCAATAAATAATAGCCAAGATTAATGGACACTATGAATTTATTAAAGAAGATAAGTCGTTTAATGAATGGGTTTTTTATTCTTTTCCACGTGATTTGATATAAGAATTATGATATTGTTTCTTATGAGGCATGAGAATAACTTTTTATTCACATCATATTGAATCAATTATAAAAGAGTGAGACAACATGATAGTAGGTTAATATATTTGAGTAGATTACAAAATTTCAGTTTAAGTGCGAGAGTAAAGACACTTTTATTTTTAGATATTGATATGTTCTTTAATGTTATGGAACATTTTTTTGTTCTATCATCAATACTTTTCGCAGCGCATGCGATGAAAGATATTTTATTTACACCTTGGGTAACATTATTGTGGATTTAGTAGGGTTCCTAATTTTAAGACTATATCAATCAGTGATAATGTAGCATTCAAATGGTGAAACAATTTTTAAAATCGGTCCAATACTTTTTGAGCCAATTCCGTTACTAACATACTCACATATAAATTATTCCTCTTTATAATATTATAGAATAGATAAAATAAAAACAAAAAGCCTTTTTTCTTGCAAAAGAATAAAGTAAACTTAATATTATATATTATGTATATATATATATATATTTTTTTTTCTTCCTATTTTTATATCTATTTCCTAATTATATTATACAAATTCCTAGCCGTTTTATTAGTGTCATCCGCACATCTCGTGAGCGAGAGGTCGCGCTATGTTCCATCGATCGTCAGACAGTCTTGCTACATGCCCTGCCCATCTCCATTTCAGCTTGAGAGCATAGTTTAGGGTATCAGTAGCTTAAGTAACGCTTCTTCTTCGTGTGTC